TTTTGACAAATTTGGTATATATATGTATATTATGTAAGCCAAAATATTCACATGTATGTTGTCTTATAGACAGATTAAGAGCTGTGTAATATCGAAAATTACGAAAAGTAAGTTTTTCTGTATAGTTTCGGAGTTTAATAATTAAGTTATAATTGCTCTAATATTTGAATGGCTGAAGATAAGATAGTGAAGTAATATATATTGTTGAAGAAAATTTATTGTTAAACAACTTTCTTCCTCATCAAGTTTTCGTAAAGTGAAAAGATTAAGAGTTAGCGAGTCAAATAATGATAAAAATGGGATTAGAAACTTTTTTTTCAAAAACATTTTGTATCATAAACTCAATCTTTCGCCTTGAAATCCTCGGGTATGGGGTAACTGACTGTTATTTTTTATATCGTGAGACTGTAAATACTATAAATTCAAAGAGTTGGTGACTTTGTATATATATATATATAAACTCTCTCTATATAGACGTTTTCAACCTATGTAGGGTCTCTATCTATCTTCACATGTCCGCAATTTTGCTATATGCTGACAGACATGCATTTTTCTCATCAGGCCTGTGGATATGATCAATTTATAAGGACAAACTTTAGTATGAAATATGACACCGTTTTTTGCCACCGGCTCCCGGACTAATTATTTCATCCCATCTCGGCTTAAACCAATAGGACAGCCTTTACTTTTCAGCAAGATAACGATAAAAAATATCTTTTTTCATTTTCTGAAATAAAAATAACATTGAGTAGAAAACAAAAAGAAATTATGAAATATAGAATGTTAAAAAATAAAGTTTCGAAAAACAAAAACGAAGAATTCCAGAAGTGGATAAGTGTTAAAATTTAAACTATAAGGTAGCATTATTCAGATAAAAAGCTACTCACAACGGATTAGTCCCATGGCTTGTTAACTGAAAATAATGCTGATTTAAGTATGTATTACATTTAAAATGTATGCAAGTATGTATGTTAAATGTATATGACAAATCAGTTTATAATTAAGAAGAAAACTTATAAACTTATAAATTGAAACATTTAGCATTTTTTATAAAAATTTGGTTTGTTCACTAATGAGATTTTTTAACACCACTGTATTTTAAAATATGTTTTCATTTTCTTTTAAGTTTATGGGTCAAGAAACAAAAGAGTTTAATTTAAGATACGAAATAAGTTTAACTAAAAATGAATAAATGTGCAAACATTTTTTTATAAACAATTTGACAATTTTCTATAAACAATAAAAATCAAAATAAACTTTTAAAATAGTTAAATATTCGTATCATAAAGGCAAATACATATTGTGACGTCATCGAAGTTCGAAAAACGGTTATTATGACTTTCATGGTAAACTTTGGGACATCATCCCATAATGAAAAATGTGAAAATCCCAATCCCACTGATGTTTAGGGTTAAGAAAAAAAATCTGGTGCAGTGTGCGCATTACACAAATTTCACTTACCACCACTAGCGGATCCAGGATTTATTTTTGGGGGGGGGGCTTCAGCCCGAAAGTTTTTTTTTCATAAAAATAACGATAATTACTTTGGAAAAAAAGAAAGAAACTAACTATCTATATGAAATGGTGTTTAAGTTATTCCTAAAGCCCTTTTAAATATAATTACATGAATAATAATAGTTTAAGAGATACTTTTTAAATATTTTTTTCGATAAAACATGGTTATATTTTACCATTTTGGGGGGGGCTTCAGCCCGAAAGCCCCCCCCCCCGTAGATCCGCCCGTGCTTACCACCTTGCTTTGAGTAAAAATAGGTTTTTTCATCATTTGATGATTTAGGCTCTAAATATCTAAGTCATTAGTGCCCGTAATAAAGTAATACTACTATTAAAATATTTAGCTAGCAACTGAAAGTAAAAATTATAGATAGTACAACATATTATTTGAAACAATTAATTACTCTATGTTTTTCTCGTCTAATATATTAAATGTATGCGTTTTTCGTCGCTAATTTAATTTCTTTTAAGACTATATGTTTTAATTAATTATTTAATTATAATAAATAATTATTTATTTAATTATAATAAATAATTAAGTGCTACGAATTCTTTTTAGTCCGACAAGAATGTCAGTAAGGAGGTCATTTAGTCATTTACGTTTCATTCTTAGTATATTTTTTGTTTAAACACTGTTATATGTTTACAGATTTTAATGTTTATATTGATGTAATCTATACATTTAAATATTAAATAAATAATATAATTGGAACATGTCCACCATGCTTATGGTCCACCATCTCTTATTTCTCCTTTAGGTCATGATAAATTTTTTTGAACCATTTATATTTAACCATTTTATTCATTATGTGAATTGTTAAATTGTTAATTTTTTAAAACGAACAAAATTAAAGGTACTTTAAAGCAATACATTTTTTAAAAATCGTCATTTACGCCTTGTTGGAGAACATCAATGAGGATAAAACCTATCTTATATCAAAAAACACTTAATTGTACATTAGCATAGTGAGTTTAATCAAAATCGTATGAGCCATTTTTGAGAAAATCATAAAAATGTGTTAAGTCAATGATTTAAAGTACCACTTTTGGTTACGAAATGCCGATTTTGATTTTGATGAAATTGTTGCTGTAACATCTCAGGCATATTTTTACCTTAAATACGCAATTTCACTTTCGTATGGCTTTTCGTTTATGTGTTCGATTGTTAACACACACACGACATAGACTATTTTGTATGACTTAGTTATTTCGACTCAGGGGATCTCAAAAAGTGTATTTTCGTTAAAAACTCAGATTCGAAAATGTTCTCGATCGCAATACTTTCCCTTAATATTTATTACATAAATAGGTAAGTGAAAGTAAAAAATGTATTTACATAATATATTTATTAGTTTAACTGCACAATTATAATTAAATAAAAATATATGAATGCATATTATTCATAAATATAGTAAATGTTATAGTCAAATAGTTTTAGAAATTTTAACATAAAGTTAATTAAAATTTGAAATTTCAAGAAAAATATTCCATCAGAGTAGAGCATGTCTTTTAATTTAAATTTCGAAATGCATGTATGTACCACAGACGAATCTACGTGGGGAGGAGTTCGGGTTTAGCCACTCTCCTTCCAAAATGGTAAGATATAACCATGTCTAATAAAAAAATATAATAATATATATATATATATATATATATATATATATATATTAAGGAATTACTCTAAAAGTATTATTGTTCTTGTAATTACATTTAACAGGACTTGTAGGACCACTTAAATATCATTCAATACAATTAGTTAGTTTCTTTCATTAAAAAAAAAAAAAATTATCGTAATATATATGAAAAAAAAGCTTTCGGGCTGAAGCCTCCCCTCCACAAAATTAAATCCTGGATCCGCCGATACATACATCATCATTTTAAAATATAATTAATATAAATATATATTTTTTACCCAGCAAATCCAACCATTTCATCGCTATGCTACCATTTTGAGTTTTAATCAAGCCAAGTTTTTATTTTTAATTTAAATTTTAAAGAATAATGTTCAATCTTTGTATAAATAGATCTCTCAAATTAAATAAAAAGTACTATTGTTCTGGTCTAATTTCGACAATTGGCGATCTTATATAAAACATTGATAAATATATATTAACATATTTTAAATATTACTATTATTTAGACTATTATTAATGAATGAAATTAAATAATTATTTCATAAATTATTAATTAATTTACCTTATTCGATATATGACAAAAAAAAAAATAAATCGCCCGAACAGGGACTCGAACCCTGGACCCTCAGATTAAAAGTCTGATGCTCTACCGACTGAGCTATCCAGGCACTGGCTGGGAGGAGTTAAAAATTGACAACGTAGGTTCAACAAATATTTTCGAACGAATTCTAATTTTTGTATAATATTTAGACTCAATACTTTTACTGAGGTACTTCTTCCAATTAAAAATGTTTAAAATTAAATTATTATATCAAAATAGTTAAAAATCCAATTTACACTTAATAACATTATTTATGCCATTTTATTAAAAATATGACATTAATGTTTAAATAACCCAATTTAAGACATTTTTAAAATTAAAATATGGAAGTATTGAATGTGTTATGGAAAATTAAAATGGAAGGAATGGAAACTTAAATTTAGTCATAAAAGACAATTAAGATGAATATTCTAATATTCACTTCTAAATATAATATTTACCAAAATTATTAATGATTTAATTTAAAAACTAATTGACACCAAGGTTGCTCAGAAGGGGGTTGTTTCATGGCGCAAGTTTTGCCATAAAAATTATTGAGGGTGGAATATTTTGATGGTTAATTGCATTTTTGTGGAGAAAAGGGCACATTTCTACAGATTATGGATTTTTAATATGGGACATTTCAATTCAGAGGACAAAGGGAAAACATGAAACAGACCGCAGAAACTGTAATTGTATATGATCCAATATTTTTTAATTCTACTTTCGCATGTACTGATTTTAAGAAGGGACGAGCCAAAAAATATAATGGGAGATTTATATACCAACAATCATAGGAGGAGCACCTCTGCTTAACAGATAAAAAAATAAAATAAACAACCCATGGATTAATAATTATTATGTTCTATATTACATTTATTAACAAATTTCAAAATTTGTTTTTGAAAATCTAATCTTCAATTGTTCGAATTTTTTTTATAATGTGAAAATAATATTTCTGCACTGCACTCTCTATACATGATAGGATCACACTTATATTAACTGCAAATTAGGTTATTTTATTCACTACAAAATTGTTTTGAATAATGGTTGCAATGATATATTATATTTTTCTATTTCTTTATAGATTTATATTACATTCTGTCAGAAATAAAAACGTTACTAATAATGATAAATTAGTTCCTTCTCACCATGATTTTAAAAACTATTCTATCTTGGTATTCTAGAAGCCAATCTAAGCTTCAATTTTTAAGAAAACAATTTTCGTACTTCTCCTATTTATAATAATAAAAAATGTTACTACTTATAAAGAAAATAGATAGTAACTGAAAAAAAAACCCATTTATTTTTAAATTAGTCATGCATTTCTATTAAATATACTACATAAAATTTGACGAAATTTAATTCTTTAAAACAGTGATTTATAATGGTATTTGATCAGAAGTTTAAAAATATGTTATTGCATAAAAATAATCAACAATGAGTAGTAAGTAAGCTATGTTCTAACATCATTATGTCAATTATACTAAATATGGAATATGGAGCAGGTACATTATTTTATTGTTTTTCATCTATTATCCAGAAAAGTTTATCTTCTTATTTACCTCACCAGACAAATGCTTGAAGAATTAGCAAAATACAAAAAATAAACAAAGCTTTTTATTATTAATATTTTTATTTTTACATGTGTTGGGAATGACCAGCAAGTTTTTGCAGATCTTTTATATTTTTCATTAATATATTTTCTAAGAGCTGTTCCAGCAACTTTAAAAACAACTGTAACCCCATTTTGCATTGCCTATTAATCTGATTTTAGCTTAAACTTTAACTTATGTCATATATTATGTGATAAATAAAAAAAATAATAAAAAAAATGAAGTCAATTCTTTGTTTCTCACTATCTGAAATTTATAACTTTTTTTCCAGTCAAGCTCATTTTGCAGTTGACAGGAGGTTTTGATTGTTTTGAAGGCCATTATATTTTATATTTCCTCTTACTATTCTCTTCTTTGTTTTGTCTAGTTCCGTGGTAAGCAGTTCCGGCCTCAGGATAGAGGAGTGTCCGTCACATATTAGAAATTTAAAAAAAGAATAGAAAGCGTAAAAGAAAAATTAATTTTAGCCTATTAATAAAGTGCTGTTACAGGAAAAGAATAAACTTATTTTCTTTAGTTCCATTAATAATGTTAATCTCTCAAATTAAATAAAAATTACTCAATTAATTAGTAAGGATTTTTATCAATTAATTCTGAATCTGACTCGCCTTCAAGGTACTTGATACAGACATTAAACCACTTCTCAAATCCATAATTTGATGAATAATTAATTATAAATAGGAGTCCAAATGATATTAAAGTCGATTGTAAACTCAGGTAATTTATGCTACCCAGCCATTTATTAAAATGGCTATTGAATTACTCTCAATCCCTGTGATAATTATATGGTTAAATGGAAGTTAATCCAATAACCATTTTTGATACTGTAGCCTATGTGAAAAATTCATTATACATTCTATATGTACATGACCACCTTTCATTGAGAAATTTATTACATTTTTTCGGTAACGATACAATCTCCATAATCTGCTGGTTTTTAACTTACAAGTTTTTACAAAAGGCCATAGATAAAAATTGAAACATCGTAGATTTCATTTTGTGGAAAAAGCTCAATACATCATTTTCCAAACAAATTATCCTTTTAGGGTTTCACAGTATGATTGTTAGCCCAGTAACCTTGTCATGAAAAGGAGGGTCTAAGTTGCATCCAATGGGGGTTGAAAGTTTCTTTTTTTTTCTTGTATTGAATATGACTGAAATGAAAAATCCAAGTTTTCGACCTCGGCGCCCTCCTGGATCACTTTTAAAACCCCAAAAACTGCTATATTTTTGTATTTTCCTGCAAAACATTTATTTTCGACAAAACAAATTCTATACCTTTTTAAACTAGATCAAATATACAACAATTTAATACCAGAACTGGCTCAGTAAATCAATTAGTTTACGAGATACAGATTTCCAAATTTTAATAAAAGAAGAATTATATTGACATTAAGCCAACTGCTGTATCACAGTGACCGAAAAACTCAAGTCGAAGTCGTCTCTCAGCCATGCTTGGACCCCATTTTGGGACAGTGAGGCCAATTTCTTTTGTGGAACCATTGCCTATCCTATTCCACCAAATATCCCCTCCTCCCACCCCATCAACACCCCTGCTTCAAAATATTGAAATGAATAAATATTTACTTTGCTGACTTATATGAGACAGGTTATTGAAAATTACAGATAATTGCATATGATCAAACATGAAAAATAATTTAAATTGAAAATAAAATTGTCTTAAATTTGAAAATATGTATCTCGTAAACAAATTGGTGTACTGAGCCACTTCTTGTGTTAAATTGTAGCATATTTCATCTATGTAGCATGTTTAAAAATGCATAGAATGTTTTTTGTCGAAAATGTGCTCCTTCATGAATAAAATGGGGAAAACCCTGAAAATATAACAGTTTTTGGGATATTCAAAAGTAATCTGTGAGGGAGGGGGGGAGCTCCGAGGACGAAAAACTTGGATTATGCATCTCAGTCGTACTCCACACAAAAAAATAAAAATAAACCTTCTACTCCCATTCAATACAACTTACGATGTTCAAGGTTACTGGGCTATGTCTTTATATTGAATGTTTATTTACAACAATGAGCCTAATACAATAAATGCTCATTTATCCAGAAACATCATAATTACTCATTATCTAAATCAGTTAGTACTACTTATAAACTCAGTCTTCATCATCATACGAATCATCAGATACTTTTTTTATGCTCAAAGAGGCAATTAGTTTTGAGAATAATTATGTAAATCTTTCTGTGAAGACAAATAGTCCTTCTTCTAATCCGTGGGATATTTTTTTTTAGAATATGGATACTGTTCTTTTTTAGATTTTATAGTTGCAATACTTTCATAATTTTTCCTTATATCGGATGAACTCTTATTTTTTAAAATACTATTTAAAGTTGTGATGATTTCCGGATAAAGAATATAAGGAGCATTATTGCCTAGGTAGAAGTCAATATGGTTGAATTTAGGCACTTCTTCCACAAGAAGAACATTCTGCAGCTCGGAAGCTATCCTCTTCACGGACTGAAAAAAAAAATTAGTATGTATTAAACTGGAAAGATGGTGTCAATATAAAAATAATATTAATAATAAACCAGCTGTTTCATACATTTTCTGATGTAAGGATATCGTTTGGTCCCCAGAGGAGGATGGTGGGGGCAGTAATAAGCTTCAAGTTGTACATCGGCGGTTTTATTCTTCCATATTTTTGAAGATTTGCTACAGAACCTAGATTTAGAGCTTTGAATTCACCTAAAAAAAAAAGAAAAAGAAATTCGATATAAAAATCGCCCCATACTTCTGGGTTTATTGATCTGACGGTTAGAGATTCCAGGCATGGGACATTTACCTCAGAATGTAAATAGCTCAGTAACCTTGTACATTGTAAATTGCATTGAATTAGGGCAGAAGGTTTCTTTCTATTTTCTTTTATGGGATATGACTGAGATTCAAAATCCGAGTTTTCGACCTCAGTGCTCCCTCGGGTCACTTTTTAATATCCCCAAAACTGCTATATTTTCACACTTCTTTGAGATTTTTCTCATTTTATCCATGAAGAAACACATTTGGGACAAAAACATTCTATACATTTCTAAACTAGATTAAATATGCTACAATTTAACACCAGAACAGTCTCGGTAAATCGAAGAGTTTACGAGATACAGATTTTTAAACTTTATTTCCCCTTTAAATTATTTTTCATGTTTGATCATATGCAATTGTCTTTTATCTTCAATAACCAGGTTGATATGGGCCAGCAGAGTAAATATTTATTCATTTTAATATTTTGAAGGAGGGATGATGGAGGTGGGGAGGAAGGGTTAGTCCATGGGCCAGACCCCCCTTCCGTGCACCCTCACATCACTATAAATTGCATATCGTTGTGTTCCTTGGAACTATATATTTAAATAAAGTAGCCACACTGTCCCAAAATGGCTGAATGACGACTTTGACTTGAGTTAGTTTTTCGGTCACTGAGATTCAGCAGTTGGCTTAATTTCGTCATAATTGGTCTTTTATTAAAGCTGGACAGTCAGAGTATAATAAAGCATAAAATAAATAAATAATTGGCCTTGGCCATAAAAAATACCAGTAAAATCAAATTTTTCAAGTCATTCAAACTAAAGTTGAAAATCAAGCACCATTTGTAATTAAACGGCCAAAAATAACGAAAAACGCCTGAAAATAAAACATCTAGAGAATACACGGATTAATTTTTAATATATTTGAAACAATTCTTTAGAAAATGCACTTAATCGGCGGAAAAGTGGCATTCCCGCAGGCGCCCACGAAAAAGATCAAACACAATAAATGACTTAGGTCATTCTAGCTCACTTATCAATTATTTATAACACTTATTATTTATTGCTATTCCTATATCCATGTATCCTACTCCTTCAAAATGGATGTTAATAATTTGACAAAAAGGAGTCTGTACCATGGACTTACAATATTCTCCACCTACTTATTCCAGGCTCAAAATATATCATACAAATTACAAAAAATATATATTTCTAATTTAGAAAGATATTACTCAAGAATTATTATCAAAGTTAATTGTAAAAATTTTGTTCAAAAATAATGATCAGAATATGATTTTTTTCACTTGTGATCAAAAATAAAAATCGTAGGATTTTTAAAAATTTTGATAGGATTTGATTTTGATTTTTTAATTATCAATTTCAAAACCTGAACTTAAGAATTAATCATTATTTAATTTCTTATTATTTAGAAAATAATTTAGTTTTTACCTGTTGAATAAATCTGTGCAAAATGTAAAACAACATATAGGGATGTTCCTGCCCCATAATATGGTATAAAAAAGTTCCATTCATCCTGAAAAGTATAATTGAAAATATATTATTAATTTTCTTTGCCATGCTTTTTTTTACAAGGGCCAGGGGAGAGAGCGGGGGACTAATGCTAGAGTTAAAAGCCATCCACCCCGGTACCCAGGTTGTCCGGTAACGCATGTTTTGCACATTCTTTAGTGCGCTCGTCCACCTTGCTCCCATCCTTCTTAGTCATATATTAAATATAAAAATAAATATATTAAAGAACATAAGTGATAATAGGCCTGTGCCTTATTTCAATTTAATATAATTATTTATTTACAGGGTGTTTAAGATTTGGATTTTTTTGTTTGGGTGATTTCTTATGTGTCGCATTTCTTGCTGCCTCAACTCAATGCGGCACATTTCTAGAATTCTGATGACTATGATTTAGTTGAGCATTTCCACTGCAACTGAGAAGGGACATGTAGCTTCAATTAGATGGTTGTCATGCACATTACGGAAGGGGTCCACGTCAATGATTAAATGTTAATTATTCCATTCAATGGATTGGCCGTGCAGAATCAATGGATTGGCCGTGCAGAATCAATGGCTTGGCCTGCATGCTCTCTGGATCTGGATTTGTTTCTTTGGGGTGACATTAAACAAAAAGTCTATGCAAGTCTGGTCAATGACCTTAATTTACGAAGCTTCCATACAAAGAAGGATAATTGAATCTTGTGAAACAATAATCCATATCCAGTACCGTTCTGCCACTGCTGCTGTTGAAAAAATGTGCCGAGCCTGTCTTAATGCTCAAGGAAATCCCTTTGAACAACATTTAATATGAATTTAATTTTTACGTTTAATAAAGTAGCTGGAACAAATAAATATATTTTATTTACTTAATATAACATAAATAATTCACACCAATGAAAATCTGTAGGTGTTAATATCTTCTAAACAAAGCGTTTTCAGACATACCTTCATAAGAATTTTTTTTCTCATTTTGCGGTCCTTAATTCTTATTTTCAGTTTAGCCATTTAATCCTGAAACACCCTGTGTACATTATTGTTCTTAAAGGCAAAAGAGATTTGCCCTGTATTGGAGGTCGTCAGTATGAATAAGAGAATTTTCGGACAGTTTGCTGCAGACATATTTTGGGCCAATTATATTCCAAAGGAACATATTGGTTATTGATGCCCTCGTTGAAAGCTTTAAAATAAAATTTGTCCCAAATGTATCTATTGTATCATTCAAATAAAAATGAAATGAACATCAGATTTTTCTACCTTAACCAATGAATTTTATTAAATTCATAGTAGGAATTAAGTATCAAAATTGGAATTCATCAGGAAGCGAGGTAGTTCAGTGGATAATCACTGACTTCCAAAGCTCAAGGTCCCGGGTTCGAATCTATCGATGACAATCGACCCAGGGGTCGGTAGATCTTCTTGGAGTACACTCAGCTCCTATACAGTGGCTAATCTTAATTAAATAGTTAAGATTATTTTATTAATTAAATAAGCCTGGCGGTCGAGCGTGATCCCGCCCCGATCACCTCCCTGCACTACCTTCAGCCTTGAAACAGTAATCCTTACAAAGTACAAAACCCAAGACCCATTCATGGGTTGTAATGGTATCGAATGTGACATACAAACAAAATTAACATTAACACTTGCTGCAAAATGACATGCAAACAAAATTAAGGATGTGTTTAAAAATTATGACTTGCCAGAAATCAAATTGAACAGTACATTTACAAAAAACTAAGCAAATACATTACCAACACAAAAGATAAAATAGATTCACTAGATAAGAAAAATGTAATTTATAAGAAACATAAACTCCACAGCATTAGCATACCATAGTATAAAACTACAACACAATTTCAATTTTAATAAACCACAAATAATAGGTACAGAACCAAAAAAATAACTATAGAAAATTACTCGAAGCCATCCCGCTTCTCAAAAAACGTAGAATAACATTAAATTACAAAACAGATACTATACATTTAGGAACACATTTTTCAGACATTTTAAACTATATTAAAATTTAGGAAAAATGGAATGTAACCAAAAGTCATACAAATAGTAAATAATCAGATAGAAAAGTCAATAACATCCCCAAGTAGCTAGAAGACACCCAATTATTAGACCTATAAATGTGATGCTCCAGATATTATTATAAATAACACAAAAACTTTAAATTCTGACAAAGGAACACATGATATTTTAGGTAAATATAGCAAATATGTAACAACATTACATTGACAAGTATTGTAACATATATTAATATTAATGTAACTCTTTTCTAGCTATTAATTGCAAAGAAAAATGGGAAATTATTTCTCGATACATCTACTTGGAATGATCATAGGATATAAACCATTTGTTTTATACTTAGTTTTTTTTGCCAAGAACAAATATATAAATTTTAATTTTTAATATCTATTTGGCAGTTGTATGTATTTAAAACAGTCCTCGTGGACTAGGATAGCATTATTAAAACAAATGAGCAATGGATTTTTTTTTTCTCATTACTTACAAGATTGAGGTTGTTGCTGTCTTCACCAGCACCTAGTTCAAGGAGGTGTAAGCAGAGCAGTCTCGTGTTCTTGTTCTTGGCGCATATCTCTCTCAGAAAATTTATAGTCTGCTCACTTCGAAAATCCAGCGAATGTATGCCCAACTTTCTCAAAAAACTCTTGAACAAAAACAGTAAATAACAAATAACACCAATTAATCAATAAAATATTAATATTATTTTTTTAATAAATATAATAAATTTTTGTTACATGAATAACCTCAGATTTCCCTCTTAGGAATCGAATTAGTGGAGTCAGTTCTTTGGCAGATGGAGTATAAGCAATCGGTGCCATGAGAACTGCTCCCCGTATTTTATCGTTGTATTCTGGTCTTATTGAACACATCAAAAAGAAAACTGTAGTTCCTGAAAGGTCAGAGTACTTTAGGATAATGTTTGTTTAGTATTTGAAATAACATCTGTATATATTGTATATATATTACTGTATTTTTAAGTTTTTAATTTACTTATCTTTAAGTTATTTTTTATTTATTGTATATAATTTTAGATTATTATTTAGTTGTTATTTTGCTTTTGTTTATTTTATGTTTTCTGTATATGTATGTTGTGAATGTGTTCATATCTCACTATAATTACTGTCTGAGTGACAGATTCTTATCTTTCTGAATAAACAAATAAAAAAAAAAAAAAATCTGGATTGTTTCAAATGTTCAGATAAATAATCCTGGGCAACAATGAAAATGTTTTGGGCTTAAAAATAGTCAATTCATATGTATTTTAATCTGCTGAATTTAAAAATTATCATACCAATGATAGATTCTCTTGCTTTGGAGATAAATTGACATTTCATTTTTTAGAGTCAAAATTTTCAATTTGGAGAATTTTTGTATTTTTTATTTGGTACACCTGTCAAATAACAAAACACAAATGCTTTCAATTGTTTGTAAGTCATAAACATAGTTGTTATTGCTGTGACTGTGAGTTTCATATATTTTCTGCTTTAATTAATGCAGAATTTATGGTTTGAGAGTGCTTTTTAAATGTAAAATACATAAAAATGCCATTAAAATGTGTAAATATGGTGAATAATTTTTGTTATATTTGTGGTGAGAAGAAGAAGAACAGTCCAGTACCCGAATCTTTGATATATTATTTGACCCATTCTTTATTCAGATAGTTTATCAGTTCCTACTCCACCCGAAAAATGTGTGTCTGAAGTAGAAAATGAAGACAGTGTGGACCAAGAAGAAGAACCAAACAAGCCTTCCACATCCCTTGACCCTGATTTTGAAGGAAAAGATGGTAAACTGCACAGACTGAGTCAAGCTGAATTGAGTGATCTCATTAGAGACATTGTCCTGTCAAAGGAGAAGGCAGAAATTCTTGACTCTCGATTACAGTAATGGGATCTTCTCTTAAGTGATGTTAGAATCTCACAGTACAGAAAACGTAACGTGTTGTTTGCTTGACTTGATGAAATCTTTGAATTTGGACCAGGATCCAACTGAATGGAGGCTATTCATAGACTTCTCCAAGCTTCGTTTGAAAGCTGTGTTATTTCACAATGGCAATCTTCTTTCTTCTATTCCTGTTGGTCTTGCAGTTCACATGAAGGAGACATATGCAGATATGTCAGCCCTCTTGGACTCACTCAAATATCATGGACACAAATGGAAAATCTGTGATGATCTAAAAGTCATTGCCATACTCTTAGGAATAAAACTGGGGTACACAAAACATTGCTGCTTCTTATGTATGTGGGACAGTAGAGATAGGAAATTGCATTATATTAAAGGAGACTGGCCTGTAAGAAACCTTACCTACCGAGAAAAATGTTGCCAAGCCTCTCGTAGACCCAAAAGATATTCTACTTTCATTCCTGCATATCAAGCTGGGTTCGATGAAAAATTTTGTCTAAGGTATGAACCATATGAAGTACGGGCCTTTAAGTTCATAATAGAGTAATTGCCGAAATTAAGTGATGCAAGAGTTAAGGAAGGCATCTTTGTCGGGCCACAAATTCGAGTACTTGTGAAGGATCCTGCGTTTTGGAAGTGAAAGAAAAGGAAGCTTGGGAAGCCTTCAAGGGAGTTGTTCGTGGATTTTTAGGTGACATAAGAGATGACAACTACACGAGTTTGGAGACAGTGCTTCTGCAAAAGTACCGTAATCTTGGATGCAACATGTTCCTTAAAATCCATTTTCTCGACTCCAATTTTTCTCTTCTAGTTGTGGAGCTGTTATTGATGAACATGATGAAAGATTGCATCAGGAAGGACATTTCTGTTTTGGAACAGAGATATCAGGGCCATTGGCGTGAAGCAATGCTTGCGGATTACTGTTGGTCTTTGTGTAGGGACTCCCTTACAAGAGGCAAGCTAAAAGAGACGACTTTTCTTCAGACACGACCATCTCCGAGGTATTCTTCGAGCAATTTAGAACTCTTAGATTGAAACTACCATTTTGAAAAATCAAAAGGAACTTTCAATGTTGTTAGAATTTATAATTAAAGTGTATCTTTTTCTCTTAACCGGTTAATATGAAATCCTTCCATCTAGTGTATATAACAGAAACTAGAGCTAGGAAAATTTTGCATTGTCATGTTCGTTTTTCTGAATCCGAAATTAGTACGAATTGATTTTGAATTAAATCAAATTTTAGATTTTGAAATTGTTCATTGAAATTGAACACACACGAATGATACAAAGTCGATTACTGAAGCCAACAAAATCAGAGGTTTCTTTCCTCGTGAAAAAATAACTGAAATCAGAATACTATAGACGGTTATAATGGTCACGTTAAATTGAAGTGAAAAACTTTTATATTATTGTATTTTACAGTAATCTTCATCCCTATTGGAAACTTTCTTGTCTCCAGTTAACTTTTCAAGTTTAAACCAATTTCTGGTACTCCTTAAATAGCCGGTCGGGACGAAACCTCTCTTGTTATCTAATGTCACGTCACATAACTTCCTTTCTTATCTCGAGTTATTCAATCGTTTATTTTTGTTCCATTAGTGTGATTTTTGTCAAATTATATTACATTGTGGGAATTGCCACTTCAGAAGAAAGAGGCTATCAAACATTTTCAAGACCCCTGGATAATTGTTTTGTTATTATTACATTTGTTTTCGTCTATTTAATATACATGTTGTAAAATAACAGTATTTAATCAAACTGTTTTGTTATTATTACATTTCTTTTCGTTCATTTAATATATATAGAAATTATATATGTCGTCTATTTAATATTTATATTTTTATTTTTACTTTTTGTTTTGATACCGGGATAATTGTTTTGTTATTTATACATTTCTTTTCTCCTATTTAATATACATAGGAATTATATATGCCGTCTATTTAATATATATATATATATATATATATATATATATATATATATATATATATATATATTTATTATACATTGGTTTTGTTTTGGTTTACCATTTCAATACTATGAATATTATACAATAAATATGAATATGGAGATAAAAATTATCAGTGCCTTATCAGAATTATCAGTGTTAAGGTTATAAACATTGGCATATAGCAGTCGGACCCGACCGGCTATTTAAGGAGTACCCAATTTCCTTCTTGATACCAATGGTTTATATCCCTTGGAACATTTTTCTAAATTTTATATAATAAAATTTAGTAAATATAAAATGCTTAAATGAATACCTTGAGAGTGGCCTATGTAGAACAGTTGATTTAATTTACGTATGTCCAAGATGGTGTCGATGAAAGCAGGTAGGTCATACATACCAATCTCCTGGAGGCTAGAATGGAGGGTTGCTGAATTAGATTTTTTGAATTGAAAACTTCTTTAGGGGCACTTAGCACTATTTTTGTGGGTAGTGAATGAGACTGAGCCATAACGATCGGATTTGTAACGCTCATTCGAATGACGTCGGCTCGATTCGATTAATTGTTGCATTTCTTTTCAAATATCTCAGAAACACGCGACGCCATGTTGGAGAGGCAAAAAGGGAAAAATATAGTGTAAAAAACGAAATTATACTACTGAGTATTGTACTTGTAATACTTTCATACTGAATATTGTCATATTATCAGGTTTTACGTTTCAGGATATGTAGAATTCAAAAACGAATATTTTTTTTTTTATCCGCCCGCTGTCCGCTCATTTCTCCGAAACTACTGGACCGGATTTTTTTTTTCAAATTTGGATTTAAAGTCAAAGGTCACACGAGGATGATCCTCCTACATCGACATTACTATCCGCCTTTTCCTTTCAAGATGGCGGCCAAAAAACCTGTGCTGCTATAGACTGTAGCGGCTAAACGAATTGATTTCACGAATTGATATCCTATTGATTTCAATAGTTACGAAATGGACTTAATCCTTAACAAATAATAATAATAATAATATTAATTAAACTTTTATTTTATTTAATATGCCAATTGGTGAATCATGTATTGTATTGACCTTTCTCAAGATAAAAGAACAAAGCATTCCTTGATACCCAGGTCAAGCTATCTCTGATAGCTTAGAAACAGTTATCTAGAATGCACCGACTGGGCAGAAGACCCATTATCAAGACTAAGGGAACAATATGCTATGTTCCTGGCCTCGCGTTTCTACGGCGAGTAAGGGTTTCCAGGAACCGCATTTATTTGTATTTATATGTATTTATATCGGTCCCAGAAGGGAACCGATCAACTTAAAATATATTAATGATGTATTTAAATGTTAGATACCACAGACCCCCTACTGTAGTATCCTAGATTGAACCATATACTCTTTATTGGATTTCCTTTCTAAAGGTATCATGTTTATAAATGTACTATTTGTTTCTATTACTAATTGGTGGCATGCAAGGTAGAATGTAAAAGTACTACGTTGGTTTACTAACTATTATATTTACAAGCTTAAATAAAACCAAAAACATCTATATACAAAATAATAACTAAACCTATATACATAATGAATAGTTAAGAATCATACTGGAGGAGAATACTTGATGTTTGATTAAAGTTACGTGTTATATTTATTATATTAATTAATGATGTATGGTTGCCAACACAAATTTACATTAGTATAACTAAATGCTTGTTACCACTTAGCTGGTCCTTCATAGTGTTTCTTGGTGTTTCTAGCCGTCATATCTGGATTCCCGGTCTCTGCTCTCCTTCAGCGTCTAGTCCGTCCATCTGCTCTCTCCGGCTGTCTTCGTCTTCCTCCCTCGACTCCCCCGCTTGAAGTCCCAAGAGCAAGTCTCCTCCTCTCCGAGTCCCAAGAAGAAGTGTCCAGTCCAAATTCTCTATTTCCCACCTTCCTTCATCCCCCTCTCTTTTGGTAGTCTTTTTCCTGATTGGCTGAATATTCTCAGCCTAAGGGATGACCACGCCCTCTCCCCCAGGCCAAGGTAAAGCAGCAGGTACAGACTTAGGTATTTCTGGTGGAAGGTGTGAAAAGGTCTTTCGGGATCCTGTTTAAACACTCAGTTGTCGGTCTTGGTCGGTGGTTCTTAAAGGTTTTTATTACCACTTACAAAAGGTTGGGCTTGTGGGTCGTTACCTTCGGTCAGGTACCGCCAGATGTGAACACTTATGATGTTTATTTATACATTTAAAATAATTATTCCACCGGCGGTCTTTACAATACATAGCAAATAATAGATTTCAGCAAAAGGGCACTTTCTCACAGACCTCATCTTAAGAATATTAACTATCGATAACTTCCTTTGCCGTCCTCTTCCGACTTCTCTTCACCCCTTGATGTTCTTGGGAATATAAACCTCATGCTTCTCTGGACTAATCACTCATGCAGTTACATTCTTGAAGTCACATTCTTCACTGTAGGAGACCTGGAGTGAACTAGTGTAGTCAAAACATATATCCATAGTGTATTACTCTGTATGTTAGATGCCATTTGTAACAGATATGAATAAAACCATTACTGATAAAGTCTTCACTGGCTCCGATTCGTTAACTAATGAAACTCGGCTTAAGTCTTCTTCTCGATGCCCTTTAATTTATCTACATAACATACTTTAATGAAAAGAAGCTGGTAAAAAAGTTACGAGGTGTGGTAAAATACGATTTTCGAATAACTTAAGAAGTATACACTTTTTTGTTGATATTGTATTGATATTTAAAAGTTTACGAAATTTCCTAAAGAACAAAAAAAAAAAAAAAAAATCGTTAAAATCTGACAATTTGGAGCAAAGATACGTTCTCTAGATATTTTCGTATGTTCTACTGCAAAGGTAATAAATATCCTTTGTTTTTTGAAAGTTACTGAAGTAATGCTATTTTTTTTTAGCTAATTATTAATGATGAAAAAAAAATGTTTAGACCAATAATAGGAATCACCTTTTTTTTTTCCTTTGTTACTAGGAAGGTAGTGTTACTTTAGATGTATAATTGTTTGGAAATAATAAACCATTGTGAAGTACTTTGCAGCTTTTTTAGGGTATGAAACAAATGATCACTCAAAATTTACCAGAGTAATTTATACACAATTATAATTGTATGTATTGTAAATGTCAATACTTTGTGAATATAGATATTAAATAAATAATAATAAAAGGCTTAGTAAACCCGAAGGTTCGAAACAGACACCACCAATCGCTTATTACACACCTCTCTCTACCGTTCGCCGTCCAAACCCAGCCTCTTCAGATCGCCTTTAACGCAATCTTCCCACCTTCGCTACGGTCTACCCCTCGGACGTTTACCATTCGGTACAGCAAATATTAACCGGTACTTCTGTTTTGTTATTATTACTTTTCTTTTTGCCTATTTCAATATCCATAACCATGACATTTATTTTTGTCTATTCCATATATATGTTGTAAAATAAAAGTGTTTTGTTATTGTTGTGGAAATTTTTACATTTCTTTTTGTCTATTTCAATTTCAAATCAAACTGTTTGTTATTATTACATCTGTTTCATCTATTTAAATTTCCATAAATATGACATTTGTTTGGTCTATTCATATATATGTTGTAAAATAAAAGTTTTTTTTTTTTATTATTACATTTGTTTTTGAATTCCCATAAATACGACATTTGATTTTTCTATTTCAATTTCCATAAATATGAATGTGAAGATAGGGATTATCAGTGTCTTATCAGAATTATCAGTGCTCAGGTTATAAACATTGGCAGGTAGCAGTTGATCCCGTCTATTCGGTCCATAGGCAAGTATCTATTTACCTTTTAGGAATTCTTTCGTTACTAAGCCCAAAAATTTTACAAGGCCATTAGATTGCCGCGATGTAATCACCTCAATTATATTAATCGGATACAGTTCACGCAATTCGGCGTTGTGTAATCTTCTGAACTCTCCGGTTAACTCATCCTTCGGTCCGAATCTTCTACGCAATAATTTATTTTCAAAAACCTTAAGACGTTGCTCATCCTTTTATATAAGCGTCCACGTTTCGCATCCAAAAAGAATTGTTAGTGAGGCAATGGTTTTATAGATTCTAGTTTTTAAGTTCCGGGACAAGAGGTGAGATTTTAGTAGTTTTGTCACAGAAAAATAACAAGCATTTCCCACTTTCTGCCTAACCTTATTCTCCTCTTCAATTTCGTGTTTTCTAGTTATCATAGACCCTAGATACCTAACTTCTCTACGTGTTCAAACATATTACCTTCTATATAGATAGTGTTGCCCAAAATCGGTCTCGGTCTATAAATCTTGCACTTTGCAAGACCAAGACCAAGGCCGCCTAATTGTTGCAAGACCAAGACCCGGACTGATAAAAAAAATCGATTTTAAAAATAAAAATTGAGTCAAAATAGTTACTAATACTAGACAATTTTAGTTACTATGTGTTAATAATTGGTATAACCAATATACTTTTGCATTTAACTCCTCTAATTTTTCATTCGGGTTTAGTTAGGTTTCTCCTATCTAAAAAAATACAGTGATATCTCTATAGTAACAAGCTAATAAGTATCTGTAAGACTGTTGCGAGACTTTTGTGCAAGATTGAGTTTTCAAGACCAAGACTCGTCTCGATCTCGCATTTGGGCAACACTGTATATCGATATCGCCATTTTTGTAGCTAACCATATGTTTTGTCTTATTCGGGTTTATTTCGAGCCTTAGTTCTTTACCGGCTAACATTAACGTTTTCGTATTTAGTTTTATAGTTTCCGTGTTTTCGCTTAACAGGACCAGATCATCCGCAGATATTTTCCCCAAGTTCTCTCGTGGCGCAGTAACTAGCGCACTATTCTCAGACAATGGACTGTGTCCAACATATATGTCTTGTGAATATAGAAAAAAAAATACTTTGTTATATTAATAATTCCGCCTTGTTGATATTTTCACTTCTATCGTGTGGTCTTAAATACACACCGTAGTTTTTCATTTGTTATTTGGATTATTATTATAAGTAAATTATTTCGGACTGGTATTCTAAGATTTAAATTAAAAAATTGTTAGTATTTATTTAAATATATACAAACATATAATATAATACTTGCCTGAAATCCCAAAACCTCTTGTCGCTTTTGGGATACTTGACACTGTATTCATTGAACACCGTTCCTCGCAGGTTTGACAACCACACATCGTAACCTTTCTTCAACAGGAGGAATGCTAGAAGGAAGAAAATCATGGAAATATATTATTATTAATGAAGGAGTGACTTGAAATATAAAGATTTTGTGAGCTATAATTCTAACACTGATATTTAATGTATTAAATTTGTTGAGTTAATGCTTCATATTTAGTAACCCTGCTCAGCTGTGGTAAAAAAAGCAGGTTGGCATGGGTGAGTTTACCCGGAGAGTAGTAGTCCTTTGTTCAAGAAATAACAATATCATTCATCCCTCCTCATATTGGTATCACTGGAAATGAACAAGCTGATGAAGGAGCAAAGGGAACAGCCCAGAAGACTCGATTTATTCTTTTTGGATCGATATTTATTTAACGAATGGAAAAGATAAAAATTATAAATTATTAAAACTTGGAATGAACAATGGGAACATCTACCCACCCAATCACCTCCGTCTGTGTGAAGAAGATAATCAAGCTTGGCTGCTTCCAAAACACCTCACATCAACAGAATGTTCCATCATTAGCAAGCTGCAAGTTGGACACACCAAGCTAACACATCTCCACCTTCATCTTGGCCTACATTGACCAACATGTCAAACATGTGAAAATTCTAACCTGACGGTAGAATATATATTTCAATGTAAAAAATACAGAAAACAGACTAGAACTTAAGATCGAATACATCATTCTGTACAAAAAACAGAAGGGCATGGAAAAAACCTGGCAGTTTATCAAAGAAACAAAATTAATGACTCACAAGAACCATTGTAGCTAATCGCCATGGCAGTATTTTTTCAAAAAATAATATTGTGGGTACGTTAGGTGATTATAACAGTCGTCGACTCATTCATAAAAACAATTTTTTATCTCCTTGTTTTTTTTTTTGCTGAAAACGTTAACTCATTTTTTTTTTGTTCACATTAATAGCTTTGCATCTCAAACTCTCCAACATACATACATACATACATATATGGCGCTACATCCCGTCACCGAGACTGGGCCTCTTCCAAAAGCTTTCGCCAGTCGATACGATCAGCTGCAGCAGCTCTCCAGTTTCGGACTCCCAGTAGAGCTGAATCCTCCCATCTTACATTTGGCCTGCCAACCTTTCTTCGTCCATGCATCTTTCTGGACAGCATTTTCCTGGGTATCGCCGAATCGTCCATACATGCTATATGCCCGGCCCATCGATGTCGTCCTATCTTGATAAACCTCACTAAGTCTATGTCCTTATAAAGACATGCGAGTTCGGCATTTTTCCTTCTTCTCCAAATTCCACCCTCTCTAACAGGACCCACATAAAAAAACAAAAAAATATGATGTGTTATTAAGACCACATTAGTGAAATAATAACAGGATCTGCGTTGAAGGAAAATAATTCCCGGGAGTAGAAAAATTCAAACACCTCGGTGTCAGAATAAATTCATTGAATGACCAAGGGGTCATTCAAACACACCAGCGTAGAAAAAGAGCTATCTTCTCCCTTTCAAAGATATTAAAATCTCCAAACTCTCCAGAAATCTGAAATTGCGAGAGACCTGGACACTAACCAGCACCCTAGAAAAAAGTATTGAAACATTTGAGAGAGAAATCCTCCGCACGATAACCGGAGCGATTTGGGATCAGAGTACTTAACACATGGAGAAGAAAGACCAATCAAGAACAGTTTAGATAAACTGGTCAATCAATATCCCATGATATGAAGGCACGGAGGTTAAGATGAGCGGGGTATGTAGCTCGTAGCAATACATCTGGAAGCTTCTAGGTAACAATGAACGCCTGAATAAAAACCAAAAACCCACGTTGAAGGCCAAAAAGCAGATGGATAGACAGAGTCAACAAAGATACAATAGAGCTGCTTGCAGATAACTGGAAAGAAAGAACCCAAGACAGGAAGTGATGGAGCAGGCTTGTTAAAGCGGCAAAAGATCTACAAGGTCCTTAATGCTAACATAAGAAAAAAAGAAGTGAAAACATCAATCTGGAGTCAATCAAATTCAATGTTTAATTATTTAAATAAAATATTTTTATAGTTATCGTTTTCTATTCAACAAAAAATGTGCCGCATAAAAAAACACAAATCTCAAATTTTCTACTTTTCTGCTGCATATTGGGCAATTGTAAACATGAACTTTTTGTAGATCTTGATGTCTAGTATCAACCTTTTAAATATTTCCCTCTACTTACGGTATACCCGATGTACATACACACTATATGTAGAATGTTTCAGGATTAAGAGGCCAAACTGCGAAAATGAACTAAGAACCTTAAAACAAAAAAAAAAAAATTCCGCTAACGGTATGTTCGCAAGCACTTTGTTAAGAGGGTATTCACACCTAAAGATTTTCGTTCTTATTAATTATTTACTTTATATGAAATAAATAAAACTAGTATATTTTAATTAAATGTAAACATTAACATTTTCTTGCCGCAAAGGTCCGCTTCGACTCACTGCGGCACATTTCTGAAATTCTGTTTACTAAGATTTAGTTGAATATATTCCATTGCTCCTGAGAAGGGACATGTGGCTGCACATGTCCGTACTGCACATTGCGGAAGAGGTCCACGACAATGACTAAATAAATGTAAATTATCCCAATCAATAGATTGGCCGTGCAGGACCAATGGCTTGGCCTGCACGCTCTCCCGTGTAGTAGACATCCCCCAGTATTTACTCCTTCATGAGTGAGGGAATGAGAAGGAATATATAATATATAGGAATGTGAGGTTGCATTGTGGATTGTACTCAATTACGCTTCATGGAAATTATTCATGGAAAAGTCTCATATCGATAAACAACCAATGAAGAAAGACGCTGGAAAAAGAACAGAGTAGGTAGCTAGCAACAGCTGGCAGAAGGACGCCAGGCACTTGAGGGTCGGACACGAAGAGTATAAGTCACGTCATCTGGAAAGAGAAGCTTACTACATTGAAGACTAAGAATATATTGTAGTTATAAGACTTTTATACATTCATTTATTACAGTTGTAAAATAAATGGTTTTATTATACAGGAGTGGAAAGTCATTTTATTTAGTTATCCTACATGCCTCATAACTGAAGAATAACAAACCAGGTGATTCAATTCATTTAAAGTGTATTTACTCGGTCCCACATTTCAGATATATATATATATATATATATATATATATATATTTTTTTTTTTTTTTTTTTCTTATTGTTTCTTCTTCTCACTCAGTGTCACAAAGTTATTAGATTCCCAACAACAGTTAAACACCCTCAAAAAGTCTATATCCAGTGCCGGGGTTTTGTTTTAATTATCTCGAGTGTAAATAACCTAGTTCCCCGATAAAAAGCGAAGGCTATTCGCTATTCCCGCCAAACCAAATTATTAACTTTTAACTTTATTAGGTTATTTACACCCTGGATTTTTTTGTTTGGGGTGACATTAAACAACAATTCTATGAAATTCTGTTCAATGACCTTAATCCCTTACAAAGAAGTATAGTTAAATCTTGTGAAACAATAACACATATCCTGTTCTGCCACTATTGCTGTTGAAGAAAAAGGCCGTGCCTCTCTTCATGCTCAAGGAAATCACTTTGAACAATATTTAATATGAATGTTTTGTTGAGCAAATCCGATACCTAGGACTCCACCTGGACATGCGACTAACTTGAAATCCTCATACTAGACTGAAACTACAAGAAACCGCTCGACGTTTCCGATTACTTCAGCACTTACTAGACAAACGCTCTAAACTTCCCATTAATTACAAAAGAGTCATATACTTGACTATAATAAGACCTATTTGGACTTGCGGTGTCGAGCTATGGGGCTCCACTAAACCATCGAATTCCTCTCGCATCCAATCCTTACAATCCAAAATCCTTCGTAAAATCCTTAATGCTCCTTACTTTGTCACTAATAAAATTATCCATAAAGATCTTAATGTTCCTTATGTTTCAGATCTGGTCCAATCCTCCTATCCTATCCTTTCATAATAAACTTCAGAATCATCCCAACCCTCTCGTTTCTAACCTTGCTTCCTCTCCAATTCCTGATAATCCTCCAAGGCGTCTGAAAAGAAGATGGCCCCGTGATCACCTAGTGTAGTCATATCATTAGAGTGCTACCATTGGGTAGTTACTCAGCAAGAGAATTCATGTCGTTATATCTATTATGTCCAAATTTACTAGATGTATTTATGTAATACAGTTGTAAATGTCATTAAGAAATAAAAAAAATATGAATGTTTATGTTTACATTTAATTAATCAAGTAATTAGAGCAAATAAATAGGTTTCATTTATTTCATATAACGTAAATAATTCATACCAACGAAAATCTTTAGGTGCGAATATCTCCTAAACAAAGCGTTTGCTGCGGAAATACCTTCAGAGGAATTTTTTTCTTGTTTTGAGGTCCTTAGTTCATTTTTGCAGTTTGGCCACTTTACCCTGTAAATGATATGATATGGTTTACCCAGATCTTTTTTGGGACCTCGAGTTAACCATTGATCTGCAGCTAGCATCAAACCATGCTGTATAAGAACTGGAGGACCAGTGTTGTTGCCAATCCTGTGGATCCAAAGGCTGTATCCATCTTCTGTGATCACTTCGTAGTTGGTCGTCTGGTAACCTCCTCTCTGTGCTAATTCGTCCTACAGAGCAATAGAACAATATTATTAAATATACATTATTTGGAACGTTCCCGGCGGAACGGTTCTTGGAACGAATTCCACCACCTGAACGGTTTGGAACGGAACCAATTCGTTCCGCTGGAACGTAATCTAAGAAAATAATGTAATCGTCTTTAGGTTTCAATGGGTTAATGTTCCGTCGCAGAGTCAAATAGCTCCAAAATGGGTACTGTTAGAACAGGCTTCACAACATAACTATGTGCGATTTTCATAAATGCTAGCTTTAATATTATTAAATAGTCAATTCTATAGATTGCAGTAATATAAAAATTAACATCAATCCACATTTACCAATGCTTAAATAAATACAAATACACACAATGAAATGTATATAAGTTTTGCGGCCTTCATTGTCAGTGTTACTCAAGTCAAATAAATAATTAAAATGTACAATCGTTAAAGACAATGATTAGTGGAAAAAACAACATAATTATAATACATTAATCGGCTGTGGAAAAAACATATGGTAATAGACCGTGGTACAGAATTATTTTTATTAAATTATTAACACCCGCCTGAAACTTCATGAATAGCTTCATATTATCATAACCTACAACTATTTTATTTACGAAAACTCCTGAAATTGCGATGCTTTCAATCTGGAAATTGGGAAACTTTGTCTATTTAATTAGGTACTGAAAACTTGTAAATTCTCATTTGCTTTCCACTTGGACCGTACACTAAATTGATCACAACATAGAGGAAAAGGTGGCCTATAGAGGTAAAATATTAGGCTCTTCGGCCTATATAACCTCGACATGTTGGGGTTGCAGGTCACGCCAATCGGCTCAATATTTTTGAAGATTTTTTCTCGATTTTGTGCACAAATTATCTTATGATTCAAATGGATAGAAAATGGGTATTTTTCTACGAGTTTTTAGTACCTAATTAAATAGACAAAAATTGCCGATCTCAAAGTTTCAGGAGTATGTTAATAATTAAATAAAAAGGAAAATACTGATTTCTCCTAAAAGAATAGTGGTAAATGAAAGTTGTGTGATTCGCTCATTGTACCTTTTTTTTTGGTCAGAATTTTTTTATGTGAGAGGTCTAAACTATCTAAACAATCACCATATATTATATTTTTAATTATAATGTATAAACAGCTTCTCAATGTGATTTTTCTTTTTAGTTTTTTTTTTTTGTCTCCAAAGATCTCTTAAACACCTCTAACTATTTTATTTACGAAAACTCTTGAAATTGGTGCTTTTTCAATCTGGAGGAGGCAAACTTTTTCTATTTAATTAGGTATTAACAACTTTTAAATTCCCATTTGCTTTTCACTTGGATCGTACAATAATTTGATTACAAAATAGAGGGAATATGTGACCTATAAAAATATAGGTTATAAAGGCCCTTTGGCCTATATAACCTCTTGACATTTTGGGGGCTTAGGCCACGCCAAACGGCTCAATATTTTTGAAGATTTTTTCTCGATTTTGTGCACAAATTATCTTACGATTCAAGTGGATAGAAAATGGGTATTTACGAGTTTTTAGTACCTAATTAAAAAGACAAAGTTTGCCGATCTCAAAGTTTCAGGAGGATGTTAATAATTAAATAAAAAGGAAAATACTAATTTCTCCTAAAAGAATGGTGGTAACTGAAAGTTGTGTGATTCGCTCATTGTACCATTTTTTTTAATTGGTCCGAATTTGTTTATGTGAGAGGTCTAAACTATATAAACAATCACAATATATTATATTTTTTAATTATAATGTATAAACACCTACTCAATGTAATTTTGCTTTTTAGTTTTTTTTTTGTCTCCAATGATCTCTTAAACACCATGATATAGGTAGTTAGTTTTTACCAGAGTAAATATCGTTTTCAAAAAAATTTAAAAAAAAAATCCTACAGCAACTGATTACACTGATTTGAAGAAATATTTTATTGACAGTTTAAAAATGCGAGCGAACAAAATATACATGTATAACAAATTTAAGATCTGTTTCTAACTTATAGAAAGTTTAAGAATTTATTTTATCCTTTCAAACTCACGATACTCAAGAGATTCGGCCATTTTGGTGGGTTCCTATCAGGCTGTCCGTAGGAAAAATAGTTGACTGCAGAAGTACTTTGAAGTAACAGTACCAATACAAGAGACGGAAGCATGGCCGTGCAAAGTACGGCAGAGGACTGCGTACTCCTCAACATGATCCAACCTTGTTAGGTTGTCCTAGGTCAAGAGCAGGAGAGGAAGGCGACGGTATGGAAATATAATTAATAACTACAACAATATTACTTCATTAGGCATTCTTATCAGTTTATAAGGTCGTCCAGGTATTGTTATACAAATAGATGATCATTTAACATAATGTTAAAAATTCAATTCAGTTCTCGAGAACTATAAATAAAAAATAAAATAAAAAAAGTAACCTCTTATGGCTGTAGAAAAGTTACATGTTTGTAAGTAATGATGTTGCCACTCTTTAAAAAAAAAAATCTAGTGCACAAAACACACAACTTTCACTTACCGCTCAATTTTGAATAGAAATTATTTTCTGGCCGTATTGGGCTATTATAAAATTTTTGAATTGCATTTTTAACTGAGCTAAAGCAACAAAATTACAGCTAAAAAATCATAAATACCATTAAAATAACAAAAGTCCTATTTATTACATCACCGGTTGATTATGGATTGTACGTTCCGTTGTTTATGGGTTGTACGAATATTAGATTACTTTATTAGATATTAAACTGTCATTTTCCATTGCAAAGTTTACTAAAGCGGAATTCAGAGATTTGGATTGGAAGTAAATACTGTTGAAATTCACAAAAGAAAATTTCATCAAACTATTCACTAATTTAATTATCTAAAAGGTTACATGATAATTTTTCAAAATAAACGGACGATAGATAGCTAAATATTTAAATATAATATCAGATCTTGATTTATTAAACTATAGTAAATATATTTAAGGTTACGAACATATGCGTTAGACATCTATGAAATGATTTTATATTTTACTTTCACACAAGTAGACTGAAATAGATTTTTAAACAATGTCATTGCCTTGATTAGGCGGATTTTAAATATTTTTTTCAAACTTAACAATAATTTAAAAGTTTACATTTAGTTAGAAAATTTAATTTAATTTCCTTAAAAAATTAACGTTAAATATTATTAGTTTTCTAAACTTATTATTTATAATTTTGTTGCCACCCTCCTCTACCTTCTATAACTTTCTATATTTGGTACTGTTTTTTTCTAAAACCCTTCGCTTTCCAACGATATATTATACGTATACTTTCTTGACTAGTATTTCCGGAGATTCGTTTTCGACCTGGATAAGCATTTTTATTTTTTTATTTTTTATTCAATAATCAAATTCTTTCAAAATTTATATTTAGCATTTTTTTGTAACTCTTAATAATGGGAGATAGTTAATTATTTAAAATAAACCATATTAAAGGTACTTTAGAGGAAGACACATATGAACATTGGCCATTTAGCCCAGTAAAGTGACATCAACGGCAATTAGACATAAATAATATTAAAGACCACTTAATTATACAATGTTACACCGAGTTTATTTAAAAAAGCAAAAGCCGTTTTTGAGAAAATGGTAAAAATGTGTTTCAGCGTTGATATAATGTTGCACTTCCGGTAAGCCAATTTTAAGGAAAAAGTTGCTGTCACATCTAAGGCCTATATCTATCTTAAATATGTAATTTCAGTTTCGTGCGACTTTTTGTTTTTGAGCTAGACTGCTAAAAAACTGATACCTAATTATTTAAAGATAATATCAGATCTATAATCACTAACCTACAGTAAATGTATTTAAGGTTATAAACATACGCTTTATACATCTATGAAATATTTTTATATTTCACATCTTCTTTCACACAAGTAAAATGGAATAATATTTTAAACAATGACATTGCATATATTCGGTGGATTTTAAATACTTTTTTATAACTTACATTTTTTTAAAACTTCACGTTTATCAAGAAAATTGTATTTAATTTCCTTGGAAGCGTGTGATTTACATTAAATAATGATAGTTTACAGAAAGCATTATTTATATTTTTTCTGTTACTCTCCGTTACCTTTTATAGCCTTATTTATTAGACATTATTTTTTCTAAAATACTCCGCTTTACAACGATATATATACTTCGACTATTATTTCCGGAGATTTATTTTCGAACTGAATAAGCATTTTTCGTTTTTCTGCTTTATTTAATTTTCAAAAGTTATATTAACTCTTTTTTCCTAACTCCTATCAATAATATATAATAAATTATTTTCAATAAACCAAATTAAAGGTACTTTAGAGGAAGACATTTTGAAAATTTATCCCTGTTAAGTGACATCAATAGAAATAAGACCTGAATGATATTAAAATTACTTAAGTATGCATCAATACACCGAGTTTAATCAAAATCGTCAGAGCCGTTTTCGAGTGAATCGTAAAAATGTTAAAAATCGATGATATTTTATCGGTTAGCCGATTTTAACGAAAAAGTTGCAGTAGCATCTCACACATATGCAAATCTTATATATGCGTTAACAGTTTCGTATGACTTTTCGTATTTGAGCTAGACTGTCCACATACACACCGACCAAATTGCGGTACTTGGTTATTTCGACTCAGAGAACCTCAAAACATGTATTCCCGTTGAAAACTCAGATTCGAAATTGTTTACGATCGCAATACTTTCCCTTACTATATTTTACATTTATAGGTAACTGAAAGTAGAAACGAGATAAATTATTCTTTATTCAAAAATTAATTTTTCTTCGTTTTTTCTATTTTCTTAAAATATTTCTGCCTCATTTATGCCGATCACCAAATGTGAGAAAACTACGATAATTACCCACAGGCTGAAATTCGGTCATGGTTCTGTGGTAAATGAATACGGGAAGGAAAAAAAATGACCTCTAACTTAGAACAGAAATAATAAAATTATTGTTGCATGATATAATTGTTAATATTTATGAATATGATGTTATGATTATTTATGAACCATCCATTATAAAGTGAGCGTTCATGAACAATGCGTATCAATTCCGGATCCCATCAGTTACAAGGCTACTGGGATGTCGGAAAATATCGATATATTCAGATTTTAAAAAATATATCGATTCTAGTATACCCAGTGAGAATTCTCACATTAGATAGCTGTTCTTCTCATTAATACATACGATGAATAAGCCACCTCAGAAACATGTTTATTCTAATATACAATATAATGTCATCAAGATAGATAATTCAACATATGCAAGTAGATACTTCAACTGTTACAGTAAAAATTTAATTAATAAGTGATTAGCTTCTTCGATTGTAAAATATCCCTCCAATTTAGTAGTTAATTAATTAGACACAGCTATGCTTGAAGTTGCACTAATCCAGTGTGCCACTAGTCTGTCTGTGCCAAGATCTTCTAGGGAACAAGTGGACCGATTTTGTTGCTTCTTTTTTTATTTTGTAAGGTTTTGACTACTGATGCCTGTGACAGAAATTCGGTATTCCCTGCGCAATAGCGCCTGCGCGATAAGAGAAAACATATTTTTCTCAGTGTAGCGGTAAAACGGAAAAAAAATATAAATAATAATTTTTGTAAACTAACATTATTTAATATAAATCATACGTTTTCAAGAAAATTAAATAAAATTTTCTTGTTAAATGTAAACTTTTGAAAAAATTTAAGTTATAAAAAGTATTTAAAATCCATCGAATAAAGCCAATGGCATCGTTTGAAATACTATTTCAGCGGGTGTAACGATTTCGATGAAACTTTTCTATCATTTTCTAATAATTGTCCTTTCAATTATCATATATGAAGTAAATTCCCGAGAAAATTCAGGAAAAAAAAGTTATAAAGAAAAGAAAAATGTTTTCATTATTGGGACCTAACTCGTAAAGTATATACCAACAAAACAAAACAAAAATCATCGAACTCGAAATCAAACCAGCATTAGCGATGATACAACGTATTCTATTTTCTGCATCCGTTATAATTTTTAGCCTGTTTTTTTTTAAGTTAGTGAAATTCTCTACAAAACTATAGAAAAATCGTTCATTTCAGACGACTATTAACGAAGTTACAGATATTCAATTTCGTAGGTGACATTATGGGTTCATATCCTGGTATCAGAAGTGGATGAATGAGAGAGAAAATAGAAAACTAAGTTTAAGTAAGAAAATCGTTATCTACATCACACAAGTTTCACTGTTGCCTCTACTTTTAACAGAAATTATGGTGTGACAAAATTAGGCTATGGCAAAAAGGTTTTGATTAGCAATATTAGTGTACTGACATTTTTACTCTAGTCTACCACAAGCTGGTTTACATTGCTTTAGTTTATCAAAGAAATCGTACTCAAATCTTTATATCAATTTTTAGGAAAATAAATCTAATTCAAAATTTTTTTTTGTTTCTTAATGAAATATTCAAAGATATAATTACTTTCCTACCTATACTAGGTAAGGAAAGTATTGCAATCGGGTCAAATTTTCGGTATGCAGTTTTCGACGGATCTATACGTTTCAGAGCCCCCTGAGTCCGAAAAACACATTTTTTAGCCATTGGTCTGTCTGTCTGTGCCAAGATTTTCTTGGGAACTAATGAAACAATTTTGCTGCTTATTTTTTTATTTTGTAGGGTTTTGACTACTGATGTTTGAAAGATAATGAAATTCCCTACAAAGATATAAAAAAATTGTTCATTTCGGACAAATATTAACGAAGTTACAGCTATTCAATTCCCAACGTAAGATTATGGGTACTTTTAACAGAACTTATTGTTTGACAATACTTAACTATGGCAAAAAGTTTTTGATCAGCAATATTAGTGAGTATTGAAATTTTTACACTAATCTACATTAAGCCGGTTTACATTGCTTTAGTTTATCAAATAAATCGTACTCAAATCTTTTGTTTGATCAATTTTCAGGAAAATAAATCTAGTTAAATTCTTTGTTGTTTCGTCATGAACTTATGTAAAGATATAAAACCTTTTCTGAAATTGGTAGGAAAGTCGTGTGAGTGAACGCACTAGATTTTTTTTTCATGGAGTTCAGGATGTAAGTTTTATTTATTTATTTTTTTTTTTCGCAAAATGCGCTTTTCATCATTTAAACTGAATTTTTTACGACGCATTTTTATTATTAGGCTTCATAAGTAAAATAAAGGATTACACTGTCACTAAGAACTTTTTTATAACATTGAAGAGCTGAGTTTCAACCTAGTTACGCCGAGCTAAAGCATAATTGGGTATTTTTCATTTAACTATCGTGAATCAGTTTTAGTAACAAATACTTTTAGTAAAATAACAGTTAATATTTGGAAATCATAATAAATATTTTATTGAAAAGAAAATATTACACAGTCAATAAAAACTTTTATATACAATAAATAATATAAATTTTGTTTGAAATTAAATACACATTTTTTTCGTCTTCTATTGCCCATTGGAACATGTGTCCAATATTTTTCGATGTCTACTCGAATTACGTAGACAGTTAAGTGAGGGTTGTGTAAATCACGTCGAAAATTTTTATTTTTCGTATTTGGGGCAGCGTTGTTGGCTCAAGTGAAATATTGATTTGGAAATATCATTTATGAATGAAATAGTGTCTATTGTTGTTTTCATCGATCTATTATACCTCACTCCATTAGATTATTGCTTTCATTTGTAAACAAAAGACGACCATTCCAAGTAAATGCCTTTTGGCAATGGTAGTTGAAATATGGGACACGACATTTTTGGTTTCCTTAAATACTTGGGGACACCATACAACCTCAAGAATAGACCAGGAATCCCTCAATTATTGTTGTTTTTTGTAATTTCGGCTTTGTGTTTTTGGATTACGTGGAAACACCGTAATCCCATAGCAACCGGGAGCAAAGAATGGTACATCTATTTTTCATTTTTTCTTCTTATATCGACAGAAGCAATAGCACTCGTTTTATTTTCGGCAAAGAACCTGAGGATAGGACACCCACTTATAGCAATCGTCGAAGAACTTGAAGATATAATGGAGTGTGGATATGTGACAAACCATAGCCCTTGGTTTCTAGGTTGTGTACTAACTTCGCCGAACATTATAATTGTGATATATCATAGCTGTAGAGTTGAAAGCGGTTTATTTAAATTCGTTCCAGAGATCTTTACCACTGTGAAAGAATTGACTGTATGGATATATTTGGCACAGGTGTTGATACCACTCCACATGATTATCTCCTGTATTTCGCAGATCAGAGCCCGCTTGCAAGCTTACCCGGATTCGAGCCCGTGCAAGATAACTTTGGAGTTGATTGCTCTCGAGCGAAGATTAGAGTATGCATTCAATCATCTGATCGATGAGTACGGCAAGGACTTCATTCTTATAATTTACATTTCGACGGGGAGGATTACGTTATCCCTCTGTGGTTCACTAATGATCTATAATCCTAAAAAATATGCAGCTTTCTTATATCTAATAGCCATATTTTGTTTTTCAATATTATCTGCTATGTACAGGGTCTGGTCTGTGGCGCATGCTGCTCAGACAGTGAGGTATCAGGTAAACAAAGCTCAGGTTTAAAATAATAGGTTTATTAAATTAGATATTGTTAATATTTATAATTTGTATATGAATAGGGAGTGGGGTAGCTCAGTGGTGGGGCACTGAGCTTCCAATACAAAGGTCCCAGGTTCGAACCCCGGCTCATGGCAGAAAATTTATTTATCTGTTTCATTGGCCGTGGGGCGAGCCTGGGTTGAGAGTCCCTCCTGGGGCACACCCAGCCTCTATAAAGTGGGTACTCTTAACTAAAATAATTAATTAAGGGAAAAAACCTGGCGGTTGAGAGTGATCTCGGTCAAATCACCTCCTTGCACAACCATCGACCTAAAAACAGTACTTTCCCTAAATAGTACTGAACCCCAGACCCCTCACGGGTTGTAGTGGTACAGATTTTTATATGAATGAATAAATTAATATGCTTATTATCTATAATAATAATTAATAATTATTTAATGTTCTCTCCAAGTATGCATCAATTGTTCTGCAATAGGCATAGGGAAACCAATCCATAGAATATGCTAAAATCTGTGAGTAGTGATTTTGAATTGTAAAAGTTCTTACTATTTTCAACAGAAAAGAACAATTTCCTGGTTTAGGCATCTTTGATAGTGAAACGAGAGTTATGTGCATGGATTGTTCGCTAAAAGTTAAGTAACATTTTTTTGAGAGAATAGTTGGATAGCTCAAATTAATCGCTAAGATCCCTTCACTGTGTTTTAAAATAATATGAGCTAAAAATACTGACCTGTTATTAAATAAAACGTGTTTAATCAATTTGCAAAAACCTTTGTAAAGCTGTTATCGATCAACGACAGCATTCAGTACACCATGCCTGAAAAATATCATATGCTACTTGTATCCGTTCAAAACATTGTATTCATGAGTTTTTCCAAAATGAATCGGGTCAATCATTTCCAGGCACTCTTGGGGACACCTCGTCATCGTTATTGTTACAAGTTTGAATCCTTCTGAAATAACAATTTTTTTTCTGTTGCCATTACAGAAAATGCAGATCTTTTGATGCTTTAACAAGCCTTCTCCATCTCTGCCTGTCTTGGGCTGTTTATTTCCAGTTATCTATCTGCAGTTCTATTGCATCTTTGTTGATTCTATCTATCCATCTGCTTTTTTGGCCTTCCACGTGGTCTTTTACCTTCTATTGAGGTGCTCATTGTTAGAAAGAGGCTTACAGATCGCTACAAGCTACATGCCCCTCCCACCTTTACTTCCCTGCCTTCAGATCACGGGATATTGATCGATCAGTTTCTGTAAGCAGTTCTTTATTGGTCTTTCTTCTCCATGTGTTGGTACTCTGATCCCAGATCGCTCCGGTTATCGAACGGAGGATTTTTCTCTCAACTGTTTCAATACTTTTTTGTAGGGTGCTGGTTAGTGTCCAGGTCTCCCAACCATGTATTAGAACGGGCTTTATCATAGCATTGAACACCTTTAATTTGACATGCTTTGCGGGATGTAAAAGACTCTGTAAGGGCTAGATGAAGCTGGCTCTGGCCATTGCCGGCGTAATTGTGACGCGTAGATCTGGTCGGGGATGATTTTCCTTAATAACAATAATAATAATTCTACATTTTACTACGAATCTGACCGATCTGACTAAGCCAATGGGAGCATATATATCCACTAAAGTTTCCGAAATTTCGAACACTTCATATATAAATATTCCTCTAGAAAAAACATTAAAGAAAACTCCATTCAATTTAGTTATGTTATTTTTTTTTTTGGAACTGACAGATTTGTTAATTTCATGAGTAGCTCTCGACCCAGAGGAAAAGAAATTTATTTTGTAGCATTCAAATGTTGACCACGCAGCTTTGTGATATTTTGGGAAAATGTTTTGATTACCAATGGCGAAAATTCAGTTCATCTTGGATTTCTCTTCCCAAAAAATTACATTGCCTGGTCTCAGTAAACTCGGGAAAATACTCTCTTGTTACTGTGTAATTAGGAAATCACCTTCTGTACTCTAAAACCGCTTTTCATTTCCATTACAATAATCATAAATGTAATGAATATCGTCATATCATTCAGTTAAAAAAAGCAATTTACTTGAATCCTCTGTAGCCGACCAGGCGACCGAAACGTAATCTAAATGAAATTGTTGGTGGTGAAGTGTTTTAGTCTCAATAATTCCTATGATTTCAGATGGCAAGATTTCATTCTGAATTGTACACAAAATGCTTGGAAGACCGAATTCAGGAGCTGGCCAAAAATGTGAGCCAAATCATTTCTTTAAAATTATTTAAATGAAGTTTCATTTTTTTCTCGTTAAGGACTTTTTTTCACCTGTTATCCATCCTGATCATCCTTATTCACATAACTCTATCTTTGACTATTTTTTTCACCTTTTCACTTCTCGTAGCCCTGATTTTATTAATATTTAATAGGTTGTTGATTACTATAGAAGGGGTTAGATTTATATAGAATTTTAGGGCGATAAATTTAAAACGAAATTGTATTTTTATGTCAGAAAAAATATTTTTTTCTACTTTTTAATTGTTCTATTTTTTGAGTGAGTTAATATAACGTACATTTTTTTAGGGCGCCAGCTTTTTTTGTTTCAACCTTTTTTCTTTTCTTTTTTTCATCGAACGGGCCAGCAATGACCAGGCGAATATCATTTCCGTTTCCTCTTCACACCCTCGTCTTCCTCTTACTCCAATACTCTCTCATCCTGTTGGACTGTTCCTCTTGCTCTTCCTTAGTCCGTTTTCACCCTCGTCTCTTCCTCCCACCTACAAGAACCACAACCCCTTTCAGTTTTTCCCTAGAAAGCTCTCTATCCAAGCACTGTTTATCCGTAATTTTTAGCCTGTCTAGTTCCTCTTTTATTTGTTTTACATACTTTTATAGCTGCAAACTTTGTCAACAATATTTTTGTTCAGTCTTTCACTATTCATCCTGACCATGTGCCCGTAGAACCTCAGTCTTCTGGTCCTAACGACTGTTTCGAAATCTTCCAAATTTCTGTATATTTCTTTTTTTTTTTTTTTAGTGTCTCAGAAAATATAAAATGTATGGGTACACATTTGTCTGTAACTAATCGCTATTTGTAGTGCAAAAGCTGGTATGTAACAGAGCATAATAACTAATTATTTCTTTATGGCTTATTAGTATAATTTCATATTTTATTTCCCTATAGTATTTTCCATAGTAGTAGACTATCTATTGCAGTTTCAGACTACAAAATGTCACCTTCAGCACAAATAGAATAAAATGTAAAATTTTTACATTTTATGTTAGTGCAAAAAGACGTTAACAGTAGCGGGCGTTAAATGTGCCAATTTAAAAAACATTTGACAGTATATATATAAATATATATATTTTTTTTCTGTAGGACTTGGTGAGCGTTTTCTTGGAAAGGGGACCATTTATTGCCTCCCACGGATTTTTCTCTTGGGATCATTCCGTTTTCTGTCGGGTAAGTACATACATAAGATTTGCATATTCTTAGTGTAATACATACATATTCTTAGTGTGAATGTTCATATATTGCTATAATTATTGTTCACGTGACAGATTATTATATTTCTAAATGAATAAATTAAAAAAAATAAGAAGAAAGCAGAAATTATATTCTATTTACCGAAACAACAAACATTAACAACATTTTCCTACTTCAACAAATTTGGGAATTGGTTAAATAATTTTCAGTATAAATTCAACTGGTAACTTTTTTTCATTCTGTTTGTTCAAACTGCTCATACATAATAATGAAGATATACATATCTTTTTTTATGTTTGGGAAAAGTTCTAAAAATAGGGAAATTTTTAGTAATGAGTTTTCAAAAAGTACAGGTCTCTGAAAAAATATACAGGGTGTTTCAGAGTTAAGTGGGCCAATTGAAAATATGAATAATTACCTCAAAACAAGAAATAAAATTCGAAGGCCGCAAACACTTTGTTTAGGAGATATTCGCACCTAATGATTTTTATTTTTATGAATTATTTACCATGGATGATAAATATTCAGAACGCAGTCATTTAAAAAAAAAAATTTAATTTTTTATTTGTGTCAACGTTTCAACCCGAACATGTGGGTGGTCTTCAGGGCGTGGGTTTCAAGTACTGACGTAGTACTTGTACACGTACAAATACCGACCTACAAGTTGGTAGGTCAGTATTTGAAAGCCTTCAATGCTCGAACCACGCCCTGAAGATGACCCACATGTTTGGGTTGAAACGTTGACACAAATAAAAAATTAAATTTTTTTTTAAAATACTGCTTCCTGAATATTTATCTCCCATTATATCTAGAACAGTCGCCTGCTTTCCTTCATTAATTCATGCATTATTTACTTTATATTAAGTAAATAAAACTTATTTATTTGTTCCAACTATTTTATTAATTAAACGTAAACTTTAAATTCATATTAAATGTTGTTTAAAGTGATTTCCTTGAGCATTAACACCTGGCATCTTTTTCAACAGAAGCAGTGGCAGATTGGCACTGGATAAGTGTTATTTTTCACAGGATTTAATCAAGGATCAGGTCATTGACCGGACTTACATAGACTAGTTTAATGTCACTCGAAACAAAAAACTCCAGTGTCAGGTCTGGAGAGCGTGCAGACCAAGCCACTGGTCCTGCACGGCCAATCCATTCATTGGGATAATTAACATTTAGTCTTTGTCGTGGACTTCTTCAGTAATGTGCTGGACAACCATCTAATTGAAGCCACATGTCCCTTCCCTTCTCAGTTGTAGTTTAATATTTTGCTGGTTTTATTTATTTTATAACAATAAAATAATTCATAACAATAAAAATCTTTAGATCTGAATATCTCCTAAACAAAGCGTTTGCCTACCTTCAGAGAAAATTATACCTTCAGAGAAAATTATTTTCTTGTTTTGAGGACCTTAGTTCATTTTCGCAGTTTGGCCACAACCCTGAATCACCCTGTGTATTAGATATAGGGATGTTATTTGACCAATTAAGGAAATAAACCATATTTTTGTGATCCAAATAACTTTTGAAGTTTCGGGAAGTGAAGTGAAGTCAAATTTGAAAATCGGAAATTTGGCTCGATCGCAACACTTTCCCTACCTAGTAGATGTAGGAAAGAAAAAAACAACATAAATAATATAAATCATCCGAAATGTTGGTTGATCTGAATACCTGATTCATCAAAGTTCCCTTTCTTCTGAGAATCATCCATATACTTTTGTTGTCATTAAAGAACATTTTTATTTTATTATTTCTGTTTAGATGTTGTCTGTTGCTGTCACTTGGTTCTTCATCATAATTCAGTTTACAATGAGTGAGAGATACAGGAATAGGCAGTCCGTTCCAACTTAGATGGACCTGTTCCTGGTAGGACGTCGGATAACGTTGACGATGATGCAAAGAATGATGAGTCGAAGAATAACAAGAACTAATGTTCGCCAAGAGGTCGAAATTCGACTACATTCATCATTGAACGTTCAAGGAAAAGATAAATGAATTTGCATCTTTCCAACATTTTTTTTTTCTACTCTTCCATATTCCTACATTCATTTTAACATATAATTATTAAAGAAAACAGTGCATTGCCATTTGTGTACTCTTTGAATTATTAGCCAATAAATATATGAATCCGTCGTCTCTTTTTTCAAAAAAATATTTTAACTCAATTTGCCAATTAGGTGAAAATTTGAGACAAAAAAAAAAAAAAAAAATAATCGATGCTATGAAAATTTCTATTTGAGAATTTTTTTAAGTGAAAAATACCAACTTCATTTTGGTTTCTTCTTAAAAAATATTTGAACCCAATTGGCTCCTTCGGTCTGAACAACATGTTCCATTGTACTCATACTAAAAGTATATTCTAATTATAAATTTGCCATAGTAGAGCTCTATTAAAAAGAAAATCTGTTGCAGTCCGCGCATTATACACTTTCACTTACCACCCTCTTTTTTGCAGAAATAAGTATTTTCAAATAAAGGAGAAATGAAAGTAAAAATTATAAACGCTATATCGATTTATATTTCATTTTGGATATTTTTAATCGTTTAAGTACTATATAAACAAATTTTAATATTTATATCGCTGTAATCTATACAATTAAATATTAAATAGTACTAACGACAACATTTAGGAAAACCGCATATATATATATATATATATATATATATATATATAATATACATAATATTGTTGGAGTCCGTATTATATTAAGCTCATGTTACTGCGGAAGCTTATTCCAATCTTCGGGCGAGCTATTCTCTGTTATGATCTCTTCTTTCTCCTTTTGTTAATTATCAAATTCTTTCATATTTTATATTTAACTATTTTTTATATTACAGATCAATGTGAAATGGTTAATTGTTTCAAATATAAAAAAATTAAAGATACTTTAGAGGAAGCTAATATTGAAAATTAGCTATTTAAGCTCTAATTATAGAACGGGTCCGCTCGTATTTTTTTAGACTCTTTATTACAACTATTCTCAATTGCGATATCTTGTTCCTCCTTTAGTTAATTATCATATTCTTTCATATTTTATTTTTAACTATTTTTTATATCAGAGTTCAATGTGAAATGTTTAATTATATCAAAGGTACTTTAGAGCAGAGATGGGCAAATGCTAGTTTGAATACCGAGTATCAATTATTTTACTCAAATTGAATCTCGATTGGAAATTCAATCACTACTTCATTTAATCGTTTGACATCAAATGAAGTAGTAATTAAATTCTTTGGTACTCCAAAAATGTCAGTATTTGAATAAAATACTTAGTACTCAGTGCTCAGAATACCATTCGCTCACCTGTGCTCTAAAGGAAAAAATATATAAAATTAAGTCATTTAAGCTCTGTTATGAGAATAAAACCTACATAATAATAAAAACTGCTTAATTTTACAATGATGTAATCAAAATCAAAATCGTTGTAGTCGTTTTCGAGAAAATGGTAAAGACGTGTTTCATCGATGATATAAAGTGCCACTTCCGGTAAGTCGATTTCGACGAAAAATTTGCTGTCACATCTCAGGTATATACAAACCTTAAATATGCAATTTCACTTTCAAACAACTTTTAGACCTGTCACATACATACGCACAGACCATTTTGCGGGACTTGGTTGTTTGTACTCAGAAGACCTCACAACATGTGTTTCCGTTGAAAACTCAGATTCGAAAATATTCGCGATCGCAATACTGTTGCTTACTATATATATGCCATGTATAGTTAAGTGAAAGTAATAAACCGACAAAATATTTTTAAAATTATGTAAAAATATCTTATGGGATATGATTCTAATCGACTTCGATGATATTTTTTTTTTTTCATTTTGTTGAGAATTCAGGAAGCTTTCAAATACCCATTGGTTTAACGAATAAAATAATATGTACTTTTTAAGTAATTTAAAATAAAATTCTAAAACCATCATTCATAAATTCTTTACATAAATTAAAATTAGACAAGTTTCATTAAAATCGTTACAGTAATTTTGAGGCTTTAATCCACATTTATATACGTTTTTTCGACCGTCACATAGAAACGAATGACTGGATATTAATAAAATGTGTATAAAAACTCCTGAATTTAACGACAATGTTATATCAAAATTATAAAGCAATCTGTGTAGAACTTTCAGAAATAAGTGATTCAGAACAAACTAGCATACATTTTTTATTTACTTACTCTATTAAGAAAAACAAAAAATGAAAGCTCGTCAATAGCTACTAAACGAATAAAGAAGAAAGAAAATCGGTTAAGAAACAGAGGATAAAAAGGTGATGTGCTACTTTATGTTTCCATATTTATATAATGATTATATTTTTACGATTGTTTTTGTATGTTATTTGTGTTTCTTTCTCCTTCCTTCTGACAAGCTGATTAATATTACATTACTGTGCAACTTTATTTATTTTATGCAACTTCCCGTTACCTACAGCATGCCTCTGTGTGATATAGTCACTAATAAATATTATTTTTGCTCTGCATCTCTGTGATCTTGATTTTGCTTTCATCGTGATACAACAAAACGTTGATACGTTAATTGTTCACCCATATTTTTTTTCTCATTTTCTTCCCTTTCGGAGGCATCGCCATTCGTATGCTCAAATGGAATATAGTGTCATAATTTCCATTTATGAATAACAGCCGATTATTGTTTTTATCGATCTATTGGCCCCTCATTCTTGTAGATTATTGTTTCCTTTGTAAGCAATGAACAACCAGCTCTAATGGCTTTTGCCAGTGGCAGTTGAAACATGAGACACTATATTTTTGGTTTTCTTAAATATTTGGGTACACCATACAATCTCAAAAAAAGGCCCACAGTTCTTCAAGTATTTTTATTTTTTCTAACGTCGACTTTGTGTTTTTGGACAGCTTGGAAACACAGTGATCCAACATGGGACCGGGGAAAAGATTGGTACACATTTATGATCTTTTTTCTTCTTACATCGAGTGAAGCGATGGCTGTGGTTTTCTTTTCGGCAAAAAGCCTGAGGTCCAGACACCCACTCATTGCCATCGTTGAAGAACTTGAAGATATAATGGACAGTAGAGGTTCCACACACCATAGGAGCTGGTACTATGTAGGTCTAGGAGTATCATTACCAAATACAGTGGTCAGGATTTATTATGATTGTAAGGTTGAAAGAGAGTTATTGAAATTTGTTCCTTCGATATTTGAAATAGTGAAAGAATTGGCTATGTTTGTGTATTTGACACAGATGTTAGTACCACTCCACATGACTGTTTCCAGTGTTTCGCAGATCAGAGCCCGCATGGAAGCATACAGGCATGATCCGGATTCGAACCCAAGCAAGAGAACTTTGGAGTTGATTACTCTCGAGCGAAGATTAGAGCATGTATTCAATCAGCTGATCGAGGAGTACGGCAAAGACTTCATTCGTATAATTTACATTTCGACGGGCAGGATAACATATTCACTGTGTGGCGCACTAATCATTCTTGTACCAAATACATTTGCAGCTTACTTGTATCTGATTCCGATGTATATTTTTCCAATAATATCTGTTGTGTACAGGGTATGGTCCTTGGCGAATGCTGCTCAGTCCGTGAGGTATCAGGTAAATAAAGCTTGTAATTATAAATTATAAGAATGAAAAATAGTCATTTACTATTAATACTCATAAGGTCCGTACTTTAATGGTGTGTTAATCTTTGTTTGAAAAAACATCTGTATCCCTCACTTTAACTTTCTTTCTGAGACGACTAACGTGGAACGCTTATACTATACTTAAAAGACAGGAACTTAACCGACGATACGGCCAACTATATATAATACTAAATAGAAAATGTAAATTCTCAATTGAAAATAAAATACTTATCTACAAGACAATACTGAAACCGACTTGGACTTACGGACTAACTGTGGGAACAGCAAAATTGTCTAACATGAAACGCATCCAATCCTTCCAGTCCAAAGTCCTTAGTCGATACTCCTTTCTATGTATCAAACAAAACCCTACACCATGAAATTAATATCACATTTGTCCTAGACCTTATCCCAGCAAAATGCTCCAAATTTCACCAGAACCTTACCTATCGTCCGAATCCCCCAGCACCATCCACCCCTATAATCCTCCAAGAAGATTAAAACGGCAGTGGCCTCGGGACCTTTTATAGTTTGTAAATATTGGAGTTCTGGCAATGGCCAGATTTTCCACTCACGACATGAGTGTATGTGGCTAAAGCGCTCTTGCTCAATCTCCACTGGGTTTATTCCCAGTAACGCGGTTGAGAGAGAAGTGCAGTGATCTCCTGGAGTCATGCTTGCCACAGTTCTAGGGACAAGTCTGGCTCGGAGTTCTCTCGCCTGATTGTAAATAGTGTATGCTTGTTGTTTTTTATTTATTTATTTTTAGGTTATTTTATTCTTGTTTATATATTATTTTTCTGTATAATTTATTTTATTTATTGTTTATAGAGTGAATGTGATCTCTGAACACTATTATAGATGTCGAGGAAGAACCATCTACACCAAGATGACTCAGATACTGTCATATGCAGATGATATGGTTATCATTGGAAGATTCATGGCTAGCGTAAGAGGTGATTTTATTGAGCTCAATGCAGAGGCCCGTAGTGTAGTTCTCAGAGTCAATGAGAGGAAGATTTCTCTCTTATCAGAGTCAAAGTAATGACATCAAGGAGAAAGAAACTCTTGCATCCTCAACCTACACGTGTTGTCAGCGACTACACCTTAGAAGTGGTCAACAATTTCAGCTACATCGGGTCCCTTATCAAAGAAGACGCAATTGAAGATGAGGAGATTAGTGCACGATTGGTTGCAGGAAATAAAGCGTACTTTGCTCTAATTAAACGCTATACAAGACGCTTGTTAGACCAGTAATAACACATGAATGTGAGAAATGGACGTTTAACAACACTGCTGCAGAAAAAATTGACAGATTTGAAAGAAAATTCCTTAGACGGATCTTCGGACCTGATCAAGAGTCAGGAAGATAGAGAATAAGGACAAACAAAGAAGCAGCTTTTTATCAGGTACTAGCAAGATCCGTGTTCGTAAAAATTTAGCATCTTAAATAGCCGGGGGATGTCCACAGGATGGATGAAACAAGAGCAGCCAAAAGAGTATACATGTACGATATAGATTAATTGCGCTCGAGAGGAAAACCAAACTCTAGATTTTGGGACTCAAGATGGTTGAGCAGGCTAAGAACAGCTATATGCGTCTGTTGTGCCAATAGAAGGAGATAATTATTGAATTAATCCGCTGGAAAGGGGAAGGGGCAGACTTGTTACATCTAAGAATTTATTGTTTTAGAATTTGTGAAATGTCATCACCACCTATGCCGATGACACGTGTATCCTATCAGTTAATAACGATCCTTTAATTGCATCCCAAACTCTTCAATCACATATCACAAGCCTTGAAGAATGGTGTAAAAATTGGAGAATAAAAATAAATTCCAACAAATCCCATCAAATCACCTTTACCTTCCGTCGTAAACCTATGACCTCTTGTCCTACAGTATCCTTCAATAATACTCCACTTATTCCTGTTGAGCAAATCCGCTACTTAGGACTCCACCTTGACAAACGACTCACTTGGAACCCCCATACCAGACTGAAACGACTAGAAACCGCCCGACGTTTTCGACTACTGCAGCACTTACTAGACAAACGATCTAAGCTTTCAATCAATTATAAACGACTCGTATATATGACAATAATAAGACCTATTTGGACTTACGGAATTGAGCTTTGGGGCTCCACTAAACCATCGAATTCCTCTCGTATCCAATCCTTACAATCCAAAATCCTTCGTAAAATCCTCAACGCTCCTTACTTTGTCACAAATAAAATCATCCATAAAGACCTTAATGTTCCATATGTTTCCGATCTGGCCCAATCCAGATACCTTTCCTTCCATAACAAACTGCAGAACCATCCGAATCCTCTCGTTTCAAACCTTGCTTCCTCCTCGATCCCCGATAACCCTCAGAGGCGTCTGAAAAGAAGATGGCCTCGGGATCTTCTAATATAGAACTTTAATTTGAGTTCTACCAATGGGTAGTTTCTCTTCATGTTGTACATGCCATGTTACAAATTTCTCATTTACTTATTGTATTCTCTATGTAATACAGTTGTAAATTCCATTAAAATAATTAAAAAAAAAAAAAAAGAATTTGTGAAATACATCTTATTATTGCTTTATTCGATATATGGGCCCATCACTCTAGTAGATTATTGTTTTCATTGTAAGCAAAGAACGACCAGATCGACTGGCTTTTGGCAGTGGCCGTTGAAACATGGAACGCAATATTTTTGGTTTCCTAAAATACTTAGGAACACCATACAACCTCAAGAAGAGACCCGCAATTCTTCAAGTATTGCTGTTTCTTCTAATGTCAGCTTTCTGGTTTTGGACTGCTTGGAAACATGTTGACCAAGAATTTGCTGGAAAAAAATGTTACAATTATATAATTGTTTTTCTTCTTATTTCGGCCGAAATAACGGCAGTGGTTTTCTATTCGGCAAAAAACCTGAGGCGAGGACACCCTGTTATTGCCATCGTTGAAGAACTTGAAGATATAATGCATAGTAGAGATACGAGAAATCATAGGATCTGGTACTACGTAGGTCTGGGATTGACATTACCAAGCGTGATTAGAATATATTACGATTGTACAATTGAAAGAGAGTTATTGAAATGCCTTCCTTCGATCTTTAACATGTTAAAAGAATTGGCTATGATGGTGCATTTGGCGCAAGTGGTAGTACCACTTCACATGATTGTCTGCAGTGTTTCGCGGATCAGAGTCCGTTTGCAAGCTTACAGGCATGATCAGGATTCGAACCCGTACAAGAAGACTGTGGAGTTAATAACTTTGGAGCGAAGATTGGAGCAGATATTCCATCAGCTAGCTGAGGAGTACGGCACAGACTTCATTCGTCTGATTTACGTTTCGACGGGGAGGATAATCTTATGTCTCAGTGCCTTAATAACCATTTTTATGCCGAAAAAATTCGCAGCTCTCTTACATATGACTCCGGTATTTTTCTTTTCATTGATTTCCGCTATGTACAGGGTCTGGTCTGTTGCGCATGCCTCTTACTCCGCGAGGTATCAGGTAATCCGGGCTTGATATTAAAATGATGACTTTATTTAATAAGTTTCTACGTTTTAAAGGTACTTCAATATTTTGTACTGAAGTGTAAGTCTGAATAGAACAATCATCTTTAAATGAAATCAAACTATTAAACTGCAAGAGCATATTGAAACCTATTTGGACTTACGGACGTTTTTCTACCCTTTCTTACCTTTTAGACTATTGTTTTTTTTTTTTCCGGGCCTGGGAAGAGGGTGGAGGAATTCATGACATACGGGCATATTTCCGATATTATTTCCAGAAATTTGATTTCAACTCGGTAAAATCCTAGTATACAATTTAATTTTTTCATAGTTCATATTTATCCATTTTATTTCAAATAAAACTCGCAATGAAAGAACTTTAATTATTTCTCATAAACAAAATTAAAGATATACTAGAAGGAAAAAAAAAAAATCGGTATTTTGATCCCGTCAGATTTCAATGAGGTAAAAACCTACTTGGCATTAAAGGTCATAAAACATTTTTCCGATATGACGAATTTAATCAAAATCGTTAGTTCTATTTTCAATAAATTGTAAAATCATATTAAATACTTGATGGTTGACCGTTTCTCTGAGGAGGGAGATGGTCAGGGGCGGCGGTCATAAAAAAAACGAAAGTAGTGTAAAAAATATTTTATTTTAATTCAAAACGTTTCGACCCAACTTTGCAGGTCTTCTTCGGGGCTAGAACGGACAATACAAAAAAGTAACAGAAGTGCCCATTTCTCCTCCCTCCCCCCCAAGTTCTGGCACAAGATGCCCTGACAGCTGAACTGTATTGAAAATAAAATTTTAAGTTGTGAAATGTTTGTTAATCTTAAGAATTCCTAATATATTATCATAATGATTACAGATGGAGAAATTTCATTCTGAATTGTACACAAAATGCTTGGAAGACAGAACGCAGGAGCTGGCCAAAAATGTGAGCCAGAATTTAAATGATTTATTTGAATATTTATGAAATTTATTCTAGTATAGATTGTTTTTCAATACATTCCTCATATTTTTCACCATGATGACCTCTTGGACAATTTTTGTTCTACAATTCTCTGCTCATAGATTTGTCAGGGCATCAGTAAAAATAGGATTTTATATTAAAATTTGAAATTTCAGGTTGAGATATCACACCTTTCAGATTTCATAATTTCTATTTATTAGCTTGTTTGACGTTTGGAACACTGACTTGTAAATGTTCTTGTTCAGAACCATTATGTAAACTGTCATATTTTTTAAATCAATTAGATCATGTTAGCTAAAATGATTTTTTTCAATAACATTTTATTATTATTATTATTTATTAACCAAAAAAAAAAATGTTGAACATTAAATCAAATTTGCAAGCTACAAATTTTTTTGCAATGAGCAAGTTTTTTAGCAGCTTCATAGCTTCCTACCACATCCGGTATATTATAAATCAGATCAGCAGGTCTCTTGGCCAAGGTCTACGTAATCGTCGTGGTGGGCTGTACGGGTTTCTTGTACCTTGAAGGATTTCTGTCAGAGGATTCATGTTGTGCGTCAGTCTTTGGTGAAAGTTGTTGTAGTTTTCTTTTGCAGTGTCTAAAATTGTTGGTACGTTTAAGTCTTTATATAGTGTATGATTTGCTACGTAAAATGGTGCGTCAACTATCCTTGGGAACACTTTTGAATGGAAGGAGTGAATTTTTTTAATGTTGGAAGTTTTAGTAGAACCTCCAATTGGTTTTGTAGTCCAAATTGGTTCAAGTAAAACTTTATAAAGAGTTAGTTTGCTAGTTGAAGATAATTTTGAACGTCTGTCAAGTAACCTGGATGAAAGACCGCATGATCTGTTTAATTATATTCGTTTTTGTCTGATGTGAGTCCTCCAAGTAAGTCTTTTGTACAGGTAAAAACCTAAATATCTAATTGCATCTGATGTTTTTATGATTTTAGTGTTCTTAAAATAACATTTAAAAAAAAAATGATATATAAGATCAGCAATAACAAACGTATTATATTAAACAGAAGATTGTTCTCAATGAATAAAAAAAAAAAAAAAAAAAAAACAGTTTCTGTTAATGTCGACTTGAAAACGAAGAAAGTGGTAACTGAAACGTTGGTAATTTCAATTTATAAAAGTTATGAAGTCTGAAAGTTGATTTCTCTTTCTGGAATTTCATATTTCAATATATTTTGCGCTTCAAAAAATATTAATTACTATGGGTTATAAAACTATTTTGCAATTGAAATTTTATAGGTTGTTAACATTTTCAAGGGATTAAATTTAAATTATAATCTATATTTAATGTTTACACCTAGATTCAGTACAAAAAAATGCGCTTCTGTTGTAATCTGATATTTTGTTTTAAGTATATTACATTAACAATTTCTTATTATTATATTACTATTAAGATCTCTTTTTTATTATGTCAATCTATCTTAAGTTCTTCTCTAACCTCAAGATATAATATGGTGTGCATATTTATGGTCCTGTCTTTGATTATTTATTCCTTTCTTCAATATATTTTTTAGTTCTTCAATGTAGGCACATTTCAATGTTTTAACTGTCTTAGTGGTTATTTAGAGATTTTTTCTGCACATTTAAGGATTTTTTATTGTATGAAAATCCAGGTTTTGGTTATGACCCATAATATGACTATATTGTAAAATTTAAGATTAAAAACGATTGAAAAAATTAAAATAATAATGAATATACATTTTTTATAGGATTTGGTCAGCATTTTCTTGGAGAGGGGTCCATCACATTCCTCCTTCACGACTAACGGATTTTTTCCTTTGGATCATTCCGTATTCTGCCAAGTAAGTCGAAAAACAAAAATCCAAAATATTTTAAATTGTATTAATTACCAGGATGAAATAAAATTGTCAGGAATTTCATGTGAGTCACCCCAAACATGTTGGTCGAAACGTCGGATAACCCAATAAAAATATCTTGACTAAAATTCCTGATAATTTGGTTTTATCCTTATAATTGATCAGTCGACTACTTACCCATCTTTGAATATATTAATTACTGAAACTGGAATCAATGTGGTGTTAACATTTTCCTAAAATATTTTTACTACTTCATACAATTTGGGAATTAGTGAAACTGGTGTAGCATAACTTTAACTAACAAGTTGTATATATAAATATAGCTCGAGTTTATAGATAAGATTTTCTATTCTATATACATTTGTTTTTAATAAAGTCCAGTGTTGTGTATTGCTTTCGGTTTAGATTTTGTCTGCAGCTGTGACTTGGGTCTTGATCATTGTCCAATTTGGAATGCGTGACAGTTGTGGGGCTAAGCAGTCCATTTCAACCTAGAACGAAGAGAACCTATCTTGGATGGGCTTCAGACAATAATGGCGATGATGATGATAATGAGGGATCAATCGAATAAGAAATATAGCAAAAAATATTAAAATTTATGAATGAATGTATGGACAAGAAAGTGGCAAACAAACTGGATAATATCTGTAGAAAGCTGAAAATGAAATGGATGAACATCTCCTTGAAACATAAGAAATATGACCTAAAAATTGCAACTTCCTTGTGGCCTATCCTACACATGCCTATGTTATGTATTTGTTGTATTCACCTATTTATTGTAATGACATTCATTGACTTTTGTAAACTAAAGAATCAACAAATCCCATCCACATAATCTATTAAATTAACACTTCACAATGCGTCTATTCTCTTTCATCACAATTCTGCCACCACTGCACCTAGAAATTTTTTTTAACAATCAATATAAAAAACAATTTAAAAGAAAGATATTATAAATTATAAAACTTACTTTTTCCTTTGAGTTTATACTTAAATTTAAAAATATATAATGTAAAATACAATTTTCTTTACATGTGTCTCATTTCCTCCTCCTGTATTATATTTTTTTTTTTGCTGAGGGGGGATGGGCACTTGTGACATAATTGTCCAGAGGTTCCAAATCCCTAAGGCCACCTTGTGGTCTTGAACCCTAATCTAATAACCCAGGCTGTAATCAGAAAAGTGATAAAAGAAGACAATGCCCCAGGTGACAGAATTTAGTGGGTGGAAAATTTCAAAGATGTCTAATATTTTTTTCTGATTATTTTATTTTTAAACCTTAATCCAGCCCACAGGATTTATGGGGGGGGGAAGGGAGGCTTTCGGGCTGAAGCCCCCCCCCAAAATGGTAAAATATTACCATGTTTTATGGTAACAAATATTAAAAAATTATGTCTTAAAGTATTATTGCTCGTTTAATTACATTTAATAGGACTTCAAGAATACCTTAAACACCATTTCATATAGGTAGTTAGTATCATTCTGTTTTTGTAAAGTTATTATCGTTATATATATGAAAAAAAAAAGCTTCCGGGCTGAAGCCCCTCCCCCCAAAAATTAAACCCTGGATCCGCTAGTGATACAGCCAATATAGTATTGAGTTGAAAATACAATGTATTGATATTTATTATGAAAAATTTCATCTAAAATAATGTTATAAAAACAGTTGAATTTTATTGAGGAAGAAGTAGGAGGGGTTTCAAGTAGGGACAGTAAAATTAAGTTTACTCCTCCTGGAAAAAAATGCCGAGTTCAGGTCAATGCCAAACCTGTAACCAGAAGTACTTGCTAAACCAAACCATTATTTTTACACTGTTCTGGATTTCATTGCTCATTGTCTGATTTTTTAAAATAAATATATTTATTAAAGTTTACAACTGTATTAACTAAAAATACCACAAGTGAATGTGAATTAGTATAATGGCGTGGACAGATTTGCATAGATCCTACCTTTTGGTATTATTAAAATAATAGTTCTAAATTAGAAGGACCCGAGGTTATCATCTTTTCAGTCACTTAAGAACATTGTCAGGATTCAAAGAGAATACTAGGTTAAAAACTAGTGGGTTTGTATGGGCCTAAAGTTTAGTATGAAAGGATAGGTGTCCAGATGGAGTCCTAGGTAGGGAATTTGTTCAAAAAGGATAAGTAGAGTATTATTTAAGGATATCTATATTTTTATTCATGATTAATAGCTATAAATTAAAATTCATTAAAAGTAGAAGTAATGTTTTTAACCAGCCATAAAAGTGTATGAAACTCTATTAACACATCATAATAATAGTAATGGTAACAAGTAATAAGGGAGAAAATAAAAGATCTATTAAATCACCTCAAAAATGATTAGGATAAATTATCTATATATTTATTTATTAAAATACACCCACCGAGGAATTTACTATGGTGCCTTCATTCAAGAGTTTCATCTTATCATTGTGGTACTAAAAGAGAAAACCTCATTCTTACAGAATGAATATGAAATTTCGAACATTCTCGGACCATCTGAAGTGATTTCTTCCTGTTCCTACTAGTCTTCAGGTAGCTCATCCTCTTCTTTTCCAAATAGAGGCTTCCAGAAGTTGTCTCCCACTGCCTTCTTGTGTTCAATGGTGAAATCATGAATAGCAATATCTTGTAACTTGTCTATCTTCTCTTTCAGTGTTTTTATTTTGTCCTGTGCTTCCTCGTCCATTCCAGTGATCTTCGCCATCTGATTCTCTAACACCTTTAACCTCTTTACAGTACTCTTCATTCTTCCTATTCTCATCTTTCTGTTTAGAATATTGTTCCCCAGGTATCGCCTGCCTCTCTCCATGTCCTGCATAATCCTAAATTTTTCTGCATCCTTCCTGTTTTGGTCTCTTATTAACGCAGTCATATTCTTCATCCGTTCACGTTTCATCTCCTGATCATCCTCTGTTTCAAATCTTTTTTGTTTCCATAGGAATTTTTTCTGGGGATTGTTGAAATATTGAAGGAGATTTTTGTTGGGCCTGAACATCATCGTGGAAAACTTTTCATTATAGTTCATTGCTCCTCTCATTCTACATCCAAAAACGTAGGGATGTAAGTCTTCCTCGATCAACATATCAATTTTCTTGTTCACTGCATCATGCTTTACTTTTGATTTCATATTCTCTAATATGTTAACTTCTTTTCGTGGTTTCCTATCAACTGTCCTTTTGCTTTTTGTAGCACCCATATATTCTAAAGAATCCATGAATAGCCTCTTCCTAAAATATAAAAAAAATATATTCATAAATAAGAGACATTCTTAAATTACAGAATTATAAATAATAATAATGCTTTATTTATTCTGGAACAAGTCCCTTTAGAATAATGTACAAAGATAGAAATGTGGGCTTTGGAGCCTCAGAAAATATTTATAAAATAAATAGATCTATATACTGAATAAATAAAAGAAAAGAATATTATTTACCTTCAATCTTCAATTAAGTGAAAAAAAATGAAATAAACATATTTAAAACAAACTAATTATTTATATTTATATTTACAACATCTATTTACAATTTTATGAGAACTTAATGGATAAGAGGTGATTGAACAGGGGGAGAAGGTATCGGAGCGATGGATGTTGGATGGTATAGAATAATGAAAGATCTGTCAAAAGCAGAGGTTCGATCGGATCTTGCATACAAATCTGAAGACCAGGAACGGGTTTTGCGGGAGTGGACAGAGGATTTAAATTGAAGGATCTCGAAGATGTATAAGGACGACGGGATTGAATGAATTGGATGACGTAGAATGCTAGGAAATACATACGTCAGTAGGAAGGATAAAGCCATTTCAGCTCTTCATAATTACGGCAAATAGAGGCGCCCCTTGGGATCTCGAAGATGATTCGTGCAAGACAATTTATCAAACGTTTTAGTTTCGCCTCGAGGTCCCCAGAGACGCCCCCATATACCATACAGAAATAGTCGAAGTGAGGAAATGTTAAGGAAGTAATAAGGAGTTTATGGGTTTAAAATGGAAATAGGTGGCGGGAGTAATTTATTCGTTTTAAAATAGAAAAGGCACGACGGGAATTATCGGATACATGGTTTTTCTAGGAAAGGGTTTTATCAAAGGTGATTCCAAGGTTCTTAATGGAAGGATAGAATTTGATAGGATTATCGTGTAGGAACAGAGTTGGTATGTTAGGAAGAGTTTTAAGGAGTTGACTGGAGCCTATCAAAATTGCCTTGGTCTTTTCGGCATTCGAATTCGCATCCACCCAGTCACAGATTCTATTCAAGTCCTCTTGAAGTTTTTTTATGGTTGCTAATAGGTCAGAGGGAGGGAAGAACAGGTATACATGGAAATCATCTGCATAGATATGGCATTGGGAGTTATGTATCAGGTGAGGAAGGTCATTAATATAAATAGCAAATAGAGTAGGATATACAAAGAAAACCTGAGGAACACCGCAGGAGAGAGGAAGTGTCTTAGACAGAGGTTGTCCTTGGACGACTACATACTGAGATCTATTTGAAAGGAAGGATTTGAACCATCGCAAGACACTGTTGGATAAAGGAAGATGTTGCAGTTTAGTAAGGAGAATGCTATGGTCAAGTGTATCAAAAGCTTTAGACAAATCTAGGAGAATGAGGATAGTAAGTTTTTGGTATTCAATGGAGTTTTGGAGGTCATCGGTTATTTTTAGAAGGGCAGATTGAGTTGAGTAACCAAGACGAAAGCCAGATTGGAGAGGGTTGATTAGGGAATGTTCTTCTATAAACATAGAAAGTTGGGTAAATAGGTATGGATTTTAAAAATAGTGAAAGCTATTAAAAATGAAATTATCATACCAATTATAATTATTCAACTTATACCATTATTGGTATATATAGGAGAATTTTTGGTTAAACCTAAATGTGAAAATAAATTTTATAATATACAGTATATATATTTATTTATCAAAGTTTCTGTTGAATGCGCTATGCTAAAAAGGATAATTTGTCTTGGAAGACAATTATTTCAATTTAAATAGTGGGCATTTTCTAGAAAAGAAAATGACGAACTCCATAGTGATAGTAAGCAATTAAAACCAGTCTCTTAAAATCAGGCAGCTCTCGCAGCTTTACAAAAGAAATATTTCAATACAAAAGAAGTATTTCAATAATAATGGATTAATAAGTGACTGTTGTAGACATATTGAAAAGAAGGTGTTTTGTGTGTTCAGTCTTTGTTTGACTCAATACCTTAACCAAATTCTCTTCGAACTATTTTTATGTACGTAGATATCAATAAATTACATTTATTTTTGTCTATAATGGAGTTACTTGGTTTTCATTATTGGATACTGTCAAAATAAGCAATGAACATTTTGAAATATAAATAAAAAATCATTGGTTATTGAATTTTTTTTGTCGATTAATGCCAAATTGAAAAAAAAGACGTCCAACAAATATTTTTATGTTATCTATCAATAATGTTCTTGTGTAAATAATAATAATTATAGGCATGGTCAATTTAATTGCTGTTTATTATTGAATTTTAAAGTGAAGGGTTATATAACAGAAATTGAAATTTTAGAATTCGCTTTTTCAAATTGTCATAGGAAGTTATTAGTATTTTTTTTGTAAACTATTAGCCCATGTTGCTTGCCATATCTGGCCATTTATGGTTTTCACCACAGTAACCAACCTACTCTAAACTGAGGAGAGTATTAAGGTTAGGATTGGTATGCAATGAAAACAGCCTTAATGGTTAAACAAAATGATTCCCTTAAATAAATAATAATAATAATAATGTGCCATTAAGCCGAATTGGATACCAGATTAAACATGCACACTTATTTAAACCAAAAACTAGTTGAGAACTTACACTTTAGGCTGAATACATTCAGGAACTTCCAGCTTTTCAATTTTCTCCATCTTGTAGGGCTGCAAGTGACTGAGAACGTCCAACTGTAACATTATAGTATAACTATTCTATAGCAGTATCATTTATTGAATAATCACAAAGAAAGGCAAATATTGAATAATTAACAGTTTATTTAATTAATGCTGTAGAAAAACACATACATTTTTGTTCGCATGGCACTATAACATTTAAGAAAATTATATTCTTAACATTCCTTTTTTTATTTTTCCTTAAAGAAAATCTATTTAGGATTAAAGTATCCTAAATTAAGCAAACTTTCACACAAAGAGAGGAGGGAGAGGAGAGGCATTTAACTCTGGCACCCATCTCTTGGTCTGTAAAAAACCTATAGGGGAAATACGAAAGAAGGAATTATTGGGAATAGCTTTGGGTGATCTCGAAATGGGCCGTTACCTTGGAGTAGCTATTATGGGAACTGGCACCCAGATGAGGTCACTCAGACCTCTTGATCTCTTACACAGGCGGATCTATGGGAGGGAGGAGTGGGGCTTTTAAGCTGAAGCTTGTACCCCCAAAATGGTAAAATATAACCATGTTGTTATTCTTCGACTATATAAGCATCTATTAACAGATTCATTTAGTTAGCAAAATGAACTCTTTTAGGTTATACTTCAGAGTTTGAATAACGAAAAGAGGAAAGCCTTAATGTTTTACAGGAAGCTGGAATGAACAGTTGCGTAAGCTTTTTAATTGGTGCTCTGAGATACTCCGATGTCTCTCACCACTACACTGAGTTAAAGTGGCTGTTCTCCTCCATTCGAAGACAGTGTTTCGTAGGCACGCTTCTCTTATCAAATCATCAACAATCATCATCCTCCTTACTCCTTTCACAAAATCTCGACCTTCCGGCCTTTACATTCCTTCTCACAGATCTGCCTCATTCCAAAACTCCTTTATTGTTCGCTCTGTTAATTTCTGGAATTCCCCTTCCCTATCTACATTTAAAACCCTCCTATTCCAATTCATGAACTAAAAACAGTCAGTTACCCGCTAATCTTAAATACATATTATTCACAATGATTTACATAATCATGTACTTACATATATTCACCATTTACATATATACACTTTTACACTTTTTTTTTTTTCTACCGAAACACAGATTTATTTTAAAGAATAATTTAATGTATTTTTATTTTATTTTTTCTAAATGTGTATACTTATGTTTTACCACTGTACATAGTTTCGAATGTTTTGTGTATATATAATTTTTGTTTTGTATATATTATGTTTAACTAATATTTTTTTTTACTTATTTCTCTTTATTTTAATTTTTTTTATTTAAATCAGATAATATTTTCAATTTTGCACTTTTCTGTTATTCTAAAGGGTCTTTGTCCCAGAATACAATTATTTTCTATACTGTTATTTTCTACTACCCTACCTCTTTACTACTACATGCTATCTACCGCTTTGCTACTACTACCTACCTCTTTGCTACTACAATCTACCTCTTTACTGCTATACACTACCTACTTCGTTGTTACAACTACCTACATCTTTGCTACTACTACCTACCTCTTTACTACACACTACCTACCTCTTTACTACTACATACCAAGCCACCTTAACTCAGTGTAGTGGTGAGAGACATGGGATATGACCTACTACCTACCTCTTTGTTACTAATACGTACCTCTTTGCTGAGGGGAGGCGCCACCGCCGGCTTGGTGTAGATCTCCGGGACCCTGAGGTGCCTGTTGATGAGCGGTCCCAAGTTCTGTCCGTGCGGCTTCATCTGCGTTGTCCTGCGCTTGATGTGGGCGGTGGCCTTAAGCTCCGACGACACCAACTCCCTTTCCCCTTCCTCGGTCAGTCGGTAGCCGTTCGTAAGCACCTAGAACAGGACTTATCCGCCTTACTCTTCTTGAACATCACTATGGCCGCTATAATACCCAACATGACTAACAGTACTCCCGTAGCGATAAGTTTGTTTCGAAAACGTTCGCATTTGCCTTCAAAGCACGGCCACATTTGTGTGTAACAATGATACGTTTCAAACCAGTAACATATGGTTTTTATACGATATTTATTACGCGTGTATGTATATTTTATTTTTATGTAAATTAAGTTTTAAAAACTGAGAATAAAAACTTTGAGATACACTAACAACAAACAAAGTCTACGCTTTATATTCTTGCATATAAGAAAAATTAGAGATTATTCAGATTAAGCCAAATGAGCAGACAAAAGTGGAGTTGGAATGAATTATCTTTGGTACATGGTCAAGTGGCATGTTTGCTGTTCTTTTCATTTATTATTTTCAATAATAAATCATTACGATCAACCAAGAAAAAGTTGCCCTCAAATCTGAGGTTAAACATTTAATGAATGGGTGAAATATACCGATATATAAAGGGGACCCTACACGGTCAATCGGAATTGCACTAATGACGTTCCGAATTGTCGTGTAAGGTAGTGAATGAAGTAATGATGGTGGTGCGCTGCGGATTTCCGAACATCCGGAAATCAAAGGTTCATTCACGAGAAGTGGAGTTGGGACTGAGGTAAAAGTAGTGGGGAGACTAACCATACTACTGGATAGGTTGGGTTACCTAGGCCTCACAACCATTATAAATTTCTGATTTTCATTATATGTAAATAGTTAAATAATTTTTCATATCCCTTGTTTATAATTTTAAACCATCTTCAACTATTTCTTTTAAATAGTCAAGTGGGCAACAAATTAAAAAAAAAAATGAGGAAACTTCACAATTTACTTTAAGAAAAAAAAAACTTTAACGTTGTGTATATTTATCAGTTCTTTTCCCATTTTCCTCAACAAATTTATTATTTTCGCAATACCTTTCCTTAATTTTTGTAAGTAGTAGACTTATATTTTACTAACTTTTGTCAAAACGATTTTCTATGAGACTAACTTCTATGAGACTACTACTAGATAGGTTAGTTTACCTAGGTCTCGTTATTAAGTAAATAGTTGTTTATATCCCTAGTCTATATTATTATTAGCCATTTTCAACTATTTTTTCTTTAAAGAGTCAAGTAGGTAATAAATTGAAGAGAAAAAAAAGTGGAAACTTCACAATTTACTTATAGAAAAAAAATCTTTAGCTGTTGTGTTTATTTGCCATTAATTTTTCCATTTTTCTTAACAAATTGATTATTTTCGCAATAATTTTCGTAGATTTTTGTATGTAGTTGACTTATATTTTTCTAAATTTGGTCTAAACGATTTTCAGGCACTTGGAAGTAATTATTATATCTCCATTTTTCTCTTGATGCCCAATACTATAAATGACAATGTCCAAATAAGCATATCTATGCTGTTTCTTTGTTTACAACTGCGCTAAATTGTATCAGCAACGATAAGTAATGATCAGTAATGATTGAACGTGTAAGGGTCTTCATGATCAAAGCGATCGCGGGCAATCCTGGCACTTCTTGTGACGTTCATTCATGAATTACCGTGTAGGGTCTGCTTAACAACATAGGTTGAATCCAAAAATAAAAGAACATAATAAAAGTAGAAATGTTGAATAAAAAACAATCATAAAAAAAAGAAGTTTTATTTAGGGTACAACCAATTACATCATAGTAAACTACACTGACAGGCAAAAAATTCCACTCACTTGATTTTTTCATGTTTTCATCTAAAAATATTTCTGCTTTGGATTGGTCTATTGTTTTTAATGAATAAATAGGTAATCTTTTTGTTTGTTTTCAATTAGGAATGTTAATATAGAGGACAATAACCCTTAATCCTTAATTCAATGAAATGATTCTAGATTCCAATGTTTACTTTCTATGGAATCAAAATGTTTATTCAGTATCATTAGTTCAGTGCCGTTTCTTGCAGCACATTTCTTAGTCTCCGGCTTTTAATTTTTTCAATATTAAGTTTAAAAATGCCTCTTAGTGCTGAGGATGTTGCGCGTGGTGTGGCACTTATTGATGATGGACGTTCCATTAGATATGCAGCTAATGCCATCGGAGTTCCATATAAATCTTTACGAGACGCCGTCAGGCGTTTTCGGGAAACTGGTTCTTACAATATAAGGCCCGGTTCTGGACGGCCTAGGGTAACAGAACCACTGGATGACCGGTTTTGACTTTGAGAATTTTACGAAACCGTCACCTTACCGTTGTTCAAGCGATTCATTAGCTCGAAGAAGTTCGAGGCGTGAAAATTTCTGAACGTACCGCTCGGAGAAGATTAAATGAGTATGGATTAATGGCTTTTCGTCCAGTAAGAGGACCAGAGTTGACCAGAACTCACAGAGTAACACGGCTGGCTTTTTCTCGAGAACACAGCCATTGGACTATGGACGAATGGAGTGCTCTACTTTTTACAGATGAGTCAAGATTCGCTCTTCGATCTGCAGACGGACGTGAAAGGGTGTAGAGAAGAAGAAACGAAAGATATGCAGCCTATAATTTTTCCCAGATCCAACCTTTCCAACGTGGTTCCATAATGGGTAAAAAGTGGGTGGAATTTTTTGCCTGTCAGTGTAGATTAAATTTACATTAAATGCCAGTAAATTTGGTTTATTTTGAAACCATGTAACGGGAATTTTTAAGCAGTTTTAAAGCAATTTTTTATAAAATCAAGGATTCTTTTATTTTTTTTATAACCGCCCAACTGGACTGAAGATACCACACTTATGGAAAAACTTTCTTGTTTGATAAGCTTTAAGTCTATATTAGTTAAGCTTAAAAAAAAAGCCTAAGTTGCATGAAACATTACCACATAGTCCGGGGAGGTTGTAAGGAACTGACCATTCGCTGGCGGTTTGAAAACAATTTGTATACCAAAAATTTATTGGTTTCTGTGTGGTGGTCAATGGCAGGAATAGTTCATTTCTTCTTTTTACCCAGAGACGAAATCATCACATCCACATCGTAATGCAGTGGTATTGACATAATGCATCAAAAACATCTTAAATGTTAACAACCTGGATTGGTTAAGGGACTTATTTATACTCTGACACGACAACGCCAGACCTCATGTTTAACGACAGACAGTGAAGAAACTAAACGAGCAGTGATACCAAATCTTTCCACAGCAATCTTATTTGCCAAACTTATCTCCAACAGATTTCCATCTATTCAGAAATTTGGACAGCTCTTCCTTAAAATAAAAATTTTTGAAAATGATTCTCAGTTCAAAAACGCATTTCCTGACTTGGAAAGTTGATAACACGTTAGGAAAAATGTTCATTTTGAATAAAAAAGTTTTGGTTTGGAAGTTGTTTTACTAAAATAAGCTAATTAAAATAACCTTTCCTGTAAAAACTGACGGCATCAACTAAAATTAGCGGCATCTCTGGAATGTAGGGAAAGCCATTCTAACCTACCTTCATCGTCGTGGATGACATGACTCTCTTCAGATCCGGAGGAATGATGAGTTTCTTTGCCTGGACGATCCTCGAGGGGTCGATGGTCGTCCATGGGAGGATACTGCCTAGCTGGTTAAGGAACTGCCCAGACATGGACCAGTAGCGCACAGATCTGTCACAGCCGGACCTAGATGGAACACGAACCGTGGAGTAAATTTTAAATTAAAAATAATTATTTGTCTAAATATAATATTCATTTATACTATTCGTTTGTATGTTAGAGACTTAAGGCTTTATTGTTTTGATTTATATTTATATATATTAACATAATAATTTAATTGGAAATAAGGTCACTTATTAATTATTTAATAAGCTACTGAATCTTGATTGCTTCAGTGTTTATTCGACGTTTCGATCTCGGTTTTTTATAAGTTAAACAATGGGATCCTCTTCAAAGTTTTAAAGAACCTCGATACCTCAGGCCAGGTACACACCGGCAGTCTCATTACCGTCCACCAGCAAATATATTAAGCTACTGTATATATATCTATAAATATAAATCATTCTCGTTTATATTCTTCCATGAAGATATTTATTGGAAAATGTTATAATCTATCTCTTGTGGCCATTAACTGGCAGTGGCAAAAAACTAGCTTTTTAGAAACCCTTTTTTAAACCAGGGCTTGAAACAGAAAAACGTTTTATTTTTAAAAACATTCGGTATCATCGGACTTTTTATTGTAGATAGTTTTTCAGTTCATTTGGAACTAGAACTTTTTCCCTTACAAGTTTTCGAGTAAAAGTTTCACAGTACTTTTATTGTAAAAAACTTTTATTAGTTCTGTCGATTTCGCTAACATGTTGATCTAAAAATGAATTTTATTCATAGCTACTCAAACAAACGACACTTTAGAATCATGTGTAATTCATTTATGACAAATTATAACTTGATTTTATTTTATTTTCAACCCTCCCCTGCCTGAAGGCAATACGGTTATTTGCAGCAGTGGGCTGTTACTGTTACATAACAACCCACTGCTGCATTTTTTGCCTATTACATTATTTTTCTGAGCTGTGCACACAGCTTGCTCTTCTCATCGCTTGCATCTGGTTTTTTTTTCTTCTTATTCTGGTGGCCTCCCCGGTGCAGCTTCTCTTCTTCCTCCCAAAGAGAAGTGGGTTGGTAGTACAACTTCTTTCCATCCGTATATAAAACGTTTGAAGTTCACGTATTTGTCTTTGGCCATAAGTTGAGGAAGATCTCTCTCTGTTAGGACAAAGAGACCTGCTGAGTCCGTACAGGTAAGTACAACATGTTCAGCGGTCTCCGGTACCCCACAACTTGGGCATAGGGGATCGATATTTATACCATACTGAACGAGCTTTGCTCGGAAACCCCCATGCCCCGTGAGAATTTGTGAGATCCAGTAGTCCGGGAGGACCCAAGTCACTTCTAGTCACGAACTGACGGTGGGGAAGTACTTCCTTAGGGTAGCTCAGTCGTCAACAACTGTCGGTTCCAGTCCTCTACTGTATCCTCCCGGAGAACCTTCTTCAAGTTTCTTGGATCATCTCCTATTCTTACTCGGAGGTAATCCGGTAGAGCTGCTAAGCATTCTCTCCTAATCCTGTACCGGTAGTAGTCTTCTATCAGCAGGAGGTCGAGAGGTATTCCTCCTGCCAAGACCTGCACAGCCTCATGAGACACCGTCCTGAATGATCTGGATACTCGAAGCAGAGCCATCCGCTGAATCGTGGCCAACCTACATTTCTGTCTGTGCGAGAGATTTTGGCTCCAGGCAGGGGACGCATACCTCAGAATACTCACAGTAACACCTTTATCAATGGTCATAGTTGCAGGGTACCTGAGGCCCCAAAATGCGCACCCAATACGACTGAGTCCGTTAAGGGTTAGGGCTATCCTACTTCTCAAGTAGTCCAAGTGAGGTGTCACGTTGAACTTTCTTCCAATCCTAATCCCTAGATAGGTGACGACCTCACTTGGACGTATTCTTGATGCTTGTATAACCATTGTTATAGGGTGAGCCCTATCAGTCGTGCCTTTCAAGAGGATGGCCTGAGTCTTGACGGCGGCCATCCTTGATTTCTTCTTCTCGCACCACTCTTCTACTAGGTTGGCGCACCTTTCAGCTTCTTCTTTCAGTCGGGCTCTGCTGTTCGAGGCTACCACAACGGCCATGACAAATTATAACTGTAATTTAAGTTCAAATATTGTTTTATTTTGTTATTAAAAAGTTCATTGCAACTTTTATTTTAAGAAATGTTTTCCAAAAATGTCCCACAGAAACTGTTAAAATGAAACTTTCATCCTCCCCTTTAAACTAGTGAATGATGGATGAGAGTAGCCTGATGATACCTACGTGATGACGAGGCGGCAGAAGTCGATGAAGATGATGGACGTGATGGCCATTCCATGGGCTCGGTAGGAGTTGAGGAGCAGCGGCAGAGGTTGCCCGGAGACCCCACGCTTCGCCCTCGTGTTCCACTTCGTCTTGGCCAGGAAGGCGAACTGCAACCTCAGCTTCGGCACTGAGATGTTAGTCTTCTCTTTGGTAGCGAAGTTCTGCATCAGCCACAGCTTCAGGTAGCCTTCGGAGCTGCCTACAAAGATAGGAGGAGGTTTAGCTCGATACTTCCCAAAGTAGGTATCATTCCTAGTGTTAAACAAACGCAAGACGAAGACAAGTCTTGGTCTTGGTCTTGCGCAAGATTCTTACAGTTACCTATTAGCTATTGTTATTGCTATTTATTAAACATCTTAGAAGAACACTACAGAATAGGTACACTTAGATGTTTTATTGACATAAATATAGTAAAGTCCAGCCAAATTATTAAGATTAACTTGACGATACATTATAGGCATTGCCAAGAAAGATAATGATAGGCTTTCACCTTGGAATGAAAGAATTGTAGAGTAAAGACAATCTACACAATGTCACCAATTATTTAAATGAAAGATCTGGTGTGTCCACTCACGTAACTTTCCTACCTATTTTAAACATTTTTTGTTCTGTTTTAAATACCCTAGGACTCCATCTGGACAAACGTCTAACTTGGAATTCTCATACCAGAATGAAACGACAAAAACAGCTCGACGTTTCCGACTACTTCAACATTTACTAGACAAACGCTCTAACCTTCCAAATAATTATAAAAGACTCATTTACATGACTATAATAAGGCCTATTTGGACTTACGGAGTTGAGCTATGGGGCTCCACCAAACCTTCAAATTCCTCTCGTATCCAATACTTACAATCCAAAATCCTTCGTAAAATCCTTAATGCTCCTTACTTTGTTACAAATAAAATCATCCATAATGACATTAATGTTCCTTATGTATCAGATTTGGCCCAATCCAGATATCTGTCCTTCCATAATAAACTTCATAACCATCCTAACTCTCTTGTTTCTAACCTTGCTTCCTATTCAATTCCTGATAACCCTCCGAGGCGTCTGAAAAGGTGATGTCCACGTGATCTCCTAATATAGACATATTATGAGAGTGCTACCAATGGGTAGTTTCTCAACATGTGTTTCATGTTATTATATCCATGTGCGAATTTACTATATGTATTTTTTGTATACAGTTGTAAATATCATATAAATAAATAAATAAAAAGTTTTAAATACGTTTAGCACTCTCGCTCAATCTCCACTGAGTTTAGCCCCAGTGACGCGGTTGAAAGAGAAATGCAGAGATCTCCTGGAGTCATGCTTTTCCATCCAAAGTTGAAGGGACAAAGTTTGGCTCGGAGTTCTCTCGCCTGATTGCAAATAGTGAATACAGGTATGTTTGTGTTCTTTTTTATTTATTTATTTTTAGGTTATTTTATATTTATGTATTGTATATATATATTATTATTAATGTACATAGAGTATGAATGTGATCTCTTACACTATTATAAATGTCCGTTAAAACAGATTGTAATGTTTTCAATAAACGATAAAAAAAAAAAAAATACGTTCATTAAAAATAATATAATTGAATTATCCTAGTTTTCAGATAACCAATCAGAGAAATCATTAGAGAACGATTTATTTGATGAACTAAAGTAATGTAAACGGGAACTGGAGCAATTATTAATATCAGTGTAGAAAATTCAATATACTATAACGTTGCCAAAACTGGTCCAACAAGTCTTCCCTTAAAAAGAGAAATAGCTCTTGGCTGGCAATCCATGTAGAAAGAGAGCCCACCGAGCAAATTGAAGGACATAAATCAGTGAAACCATGGTCCACCTCGAACCGCTCTATTCGTAGAGAGGAAGTTGCCTTAACTAGACTAAGGATAGGATGTACAAATCTGACACATTCCTATTTGATAAACAAACAGCCCGTACCAAAATGTCCACATTGCTACAGTACTCTCCCAGTCAGCCACATTCACCAAGATTATCTTAATTATATATTGATTCTAACCAAATTGGGACTTGTATCAAAATTTTCAGTAGTTTTAAAAAATGACGAAGTTACAATAAAATTGGTGATTAATTTTCTTAAAGATAATGATTTAAGTTTGAGTGATTTTTTTCTTACATTTCATAGTAATTTATAACTGGAATAATTGAAATAAAGATTAAATAGATGACGACCACCTCGGGATTTTACACCTCTAAGCCCTAAACAACACCTACTGGTCAGATTTAGATGAGTTTACTTTTTTTATAGTTTTGTCGGAAAATCAATAACGTTTTAAAAAACCCTGCAAATTATTTCACAATGGTTTATTATTTCCAATTATACATCTAAAATAACATTACCTTCCTAATTACAAAGAAAAATAAATAAAAGGTGATTACAATTATTAGACTAAACTTTTTTAAAATCATTAGTAGTATGATAAAAAAAAACTAGCATTACTTCAGTAACATATTCAAAATTCAAAAACCAAAACAAAGGATATAATCTTCCTAGTAGAAAATATATAAAAAAATAAAAAATAAAAAAAATAAAAAAAAATTGCCAGAACTTCAATATTTATAACTATAAAAGATCGCGGGGCCACTTCCGTTTTAACCTCCTTGGTTAAAAAATTAAACAAGTATATTTTAAATTTATCCAAATTTTCGCCTCTTCAGAGAAAAAAACTAGAGACCATATCTTTGCTCCTAATTGTTCGATTTTAACGATTTTCTTTTAGGAAATTCCATAAACTTTTAAAAAACCATTCAATATTCACAAAAAATTGTATACTTTTTGGGCTATTCGGAATTTAATTTTTCCATCCCTCGTAACTTTTTTTCCAGCTTCTTTTCGTTGAAGTATGTTATATAGATAAATTTAAAGGACGTCGAGAAAATGACTTTAGCGAAGTTTCATTGAAATCGGTACCTTCGATTAGGCGCTACAGTCTACAGCAACGAAGTTTTTTCGGCCGCCATTTTGAAAGTAAAAGGCGGATAGTAATGCCGATGAAGGAAGATCATCCTCGGGTGAGCTCTGATTTTATATCCGAATTTGAAAAAAATCGGTCCAGTACTTTTGGAGAAAATGCGCGGACGGGGGACGGACAAAAAATTTTATTCTTTTTTCGAATTCTACGTATCCTAAAACGTGAAAACTTAAATTTTGAGAGGGGGTTAAGTTTTTGAATTTTTCGGACGATTACTATGGTTCATTATTGAAAATAAAAAACCAAAATGTTAACACAAAATACATTTACTACAAATATACATACAAATATTAATATCATTTTTAAGAATCGAGAAGCCTAATTAAATCCCGAATGAAAAATTAGAAGAGTTAAATGCAAAAAAACATAGATTCTACCAATACTTTACACATAGTAACTAAAAGTGTATAGTATTAGTAACTATTGCCTTAAGAAAAAAATTACTATATTTTTTTTGAAAAATATAGTATCGTGAATAAATAAAGTTAATACATTACCGGTAAATAGATAGTCATCGTTTATGTCTGTCTCTATCCTCACGATGTAGTCATCCACCTTGTGCATGGCATAGAAGGACGCCACTAAAGCACCTTTAGGATGGGCAGACCAGAGCTGGATGACTCCGGTATCCAAGGATACCATGATGTTACCCTCCTTATGGGACTGAGGTCTCTTCCGCAGGTAGTAAATGTAATGGATGGAAGTAGTAGCTGAAGTGGAAGGCATTATTTGTAAAATACAATGGGATGAAAAGCCAAGCAATATAATACAAGTGGCAATAATATCATCACTTTGTGAAAATGCAGTTTAAAGTTAAAATACTTTAATTATTTCTTTGGAAAAATTAAAGTAAAATGTTATATAATTATGGTATGATTAGATATGACTTATAATTTTTCTTATAATTAATTCAATAACTTTACTATTTAATGACACATATTCTCCTGTTCTGAACTTTCGATAACAAAAACCATAAATCTATTTAAGGTTCTATCACTGATTAGATGTATTGCACATTTCCTTCAATGTGTTAAAAAAAGTTCTGTTGGTGAATGAATGAATGAATGAAAACATATTTATTAAACTTTTTAAAAAATTGCACAAAGTAAAATATATATATATATAAAAGAAACAACACATAGACAATATGAAATTCTGTCTGTCGAGTTCTGTGTGTAATTAATAATAAATATTCATCACATTTATAACTAAAATAAATGAGCAATAATATATCTACAGTATTATTATATTTTTATACATCCATTTTAGCAATCTTCTTTTTCACTGTCTCACTTGTTTAAATAGAGTTTTCAAAAAACAAACATTAATATGTCACAAATACAATAAAACAAACATTACAATAAATAAACACGATATTGTATCAATAGTTTACTATCTGACTAATTGAGATCTTTGCAATGTGGCTTGCTGTACATTTTTCTTGAGAGTTACATACCGGACAGCAATCGTTGTCCCCCACCATCCATGGTTTTACGCTTAGATCGAGCAACTCTGTCCTACATCGAAAAAGTGACCCTATAGTCACAATATCGAAACTATCATTAAGACAGAGTGTAACAATGCCCACTGAACATAGTCCTCCGTAAACAGAAAAACTTGAATGAAGACATTTTTCTAGGTTATTTTGTTTTTCTAAGTCCCCTACCCTATGTCTAACAACAGTCAATTTTCAGCGCAGATCAGCGATATTTGCAATATGAAGATTACTTTTACAACTACCCTCGAATTCTAACCACTTTTGGTACCAATAAACTCTCTTAGTTATCATCTCTTTCGCTAGGATATGTGGCGAAACCTCGGAACGAAAACTCGGCATCTCCAGCACTTTCAAAATACAGTCGAAATGAATTTTAAGGTGTAGGAGTATATCGAGGCGAGACCGGTTTCTGTTGGTAAATATTGCTATTAAAGATAAATAATTTATTCAAGTACAATCAGAAAAAATATTTGATTTAAATCAAAAATATTATAATTCTTACATTCGAATATTGATAAAGGAAGTAATTAATTTCTCATTATTTCTGTTATAATTTTCGAAAAATGTTAGGAATGTTAAGATACGAGATAATTTTAACGAAACGGCACCTCTCCACATCCTCCTGCGAGATAAGTCGAGCGCAATAGATCTCCGGGAAATATTCAGATTACAATTAACAAACATCCACGGAAATTGGAAAATTATTATCCGGAAGGATACGGCAGAATAGTGGAACCAGAGAATGGTGAAAACTCCTAAATGGAAACAAAATGGATTCTTCCGGACTCCCGGGACAGCTCAGCCTCCCAGTTTTTCACACAGTATGAGTGCTTCCGGAATAAACTCAATGAGTTTTGGAAGGAAATTGGTACCCTATGACTTTGTTTGGCGTCCCGTAGTCAGAATATTGCGTCGTCATTAAGCTCTTCCCCTATGAAATCTGGTATTCTGTGAGTTACTGGGAGTGTTAGAGGACAAACGGTTCCCCGTCATTGCCTACGTAAATGGCCTAGCTATTGTGGTGGCCTCCAACAGAAAAGCTGTTGTCAAGAGAGAAGCACGATGATGATGTGGGGAAAGATGAGGAGGATGGCACACCCAGCAACACAGCCTAGGCCAGAACAAAATTTCTTATTCCAAACTAGTGGTGTTCCGGCGACTAATAACAATGTGATCCTGTTCTTCAATGCTTACGATGGATTAAGGTTCACAATGACGAGAACCACGGGAATTTACGTCCTTACTGAGGAGCAGTTCAGTTGGTGGGAGAGGAGAATTTCCCATGGTCCAAGGACTTTATTCATGGGTGGAAGACTGTCGTGGTTCCAAACCGTGTTAACATTGAAGTCCGAAGAAGAAGAGGAAGGAAGAAGAGCTGGGAAGACTGCCGGATTCCGAAAACTCTGGATAAGGCTTTAAATATAACTTTTAGGAAGAAGATAAAATCTTCGGCGCCATCTTTTAAAATTAATGAAGTAGGTTTTTGCGCAGTCAGTATCCCTTACCATAGAATAGATTTGTTTTTATTGGCTTAATATACATCGTAGCCATGGAGTCTGGCACATTTAGTTTTAATAGGGATTAGTTTTATAAGTAGAAGAAAACAAGTAAATAAGTACATTATTAGAAGAGAACAATAAAAAAATTTTCATATAACAAACATCATAAATATTTTTATACTCCAAATATGTTTACTATTTATATATAAATATGTTTATAATAATAAATATCATAAATGTGATATCATAAATGAATAAAAATACATATATACCTAAGAAAATTTTTCTGCGCAGAACACAACCAAACCTCATATATATATATATATTATGCATGCGAAAAAGTAAGAAATATGCTATAATAAAATATAAGAATCTATTTTTATTAATATTACCAACTCCTCCAACGTTGTAATGACGCCTCTTGTCAAAGACTGTAGTCCGTATTGACCTAAAAAGATAACAAAATGAGACATTTGTTTTTGTAATAAATAAATCTTCTGTTTAGTGAAGTTTTGATAATGGTGTTATCATACCTCTGTTCTGCTTCATAATCGATATCCATGGTCAAACTGCAAAATGAGTTATAGACATTATTATCTTTATTATATAAGTAAATTGATAAAAATATACACTTTAATAATAATAATAATAATAATAATAATAATAAAAATGCTTAGCGAACCCGAAGGTTCGATGCCGACACCACCAATCGCTTATTGCACACCTCCCTCCATCGATCGCCGTCCAAACCCAGTCCCTTCAGATCGGCTTTAATGCAATCTTCCCACCTTCGCTTCGGTCTACCCCTCGGACGCTTACCATTCGGCACAGCAAATATTAGCCTTTTAGGAATTCTCTCGTTACTAAGTCCAACAACTTTACAAGCCCATTTGATTCGCCGCGATGAAATTACTTCAATTATATTACTCGGAAACAGTTCACGCAATTCGGCGTTGTGTAACCGTCTGAACTCTCCGGTTAACTCATCCTTCTTCGGTCCGATTTTCAAAAGCCTCGCGCGGGCTCATTACCGCGTATGGGGAGCGTCCCACGGGTGGCGGATGTGGGGATGGTCGGTGGAAATTCCTTGGAAGTTCCTCCCGGCTAAGTCCGATGGACTCGCTGACCAACAATGAGAGGGGCCCTCCAAACTTGCTGGAGGGAGGGGACCTCCAGACTTGCTGGAGGTAGGGGCCCACCAGACTTGCTGGAGGGTGTGACGTAGGATTGAACGCCCTACTCACATATCTTTAGTTCACCAAACACCACAAATAGTCATGGATCTCCCTAAGGTAAAACGCTCATTATCCGGAAGTAAACTAGTCCCCCGTTCGGGTCTCCGGGTGGGGACTGCTTTAGGGGATTCATGGCGCAAGTTGAAATATAGGGATTTAAATATTGGTACGTGGAACGTAAGGAGTTTAAACACAGCAGGGGGGCTAAAATCTGTCGCGAATGAGGTGAATGGGTACAATTTGGATGTCGTGGCTCTGCAAGAGGTTCGCTGGTCAGGGGAGGGCTCGATGAGGGAAGGAAAGTACACTATTTGGTACGGAGGAAGCGGGAATCATTGTTTGGGTACCGGGTTTCTAATTAGGAGTAGATTACTATCCGCTTTGAGGGACGTACAATTCTTTAGTGATAGAATTTCGGTAGCTACATTTCAGGGACGTTGGTTTAAAATCGCATTAATAAACATACATTGTCCGACCGAAGACAGTGACGATGAAGTCAAAAGTGAATTTTACGATAATCTCGAATGGATTTATGATAAACTACCGCGAAACTACATGAAAATAATTATAGGTGACGCGAACGCAAAGGTAGGAAGGGAAGAAGTTTATATTCCGACGATTGGTAAAGAAAGCTTGCACGAATATAGTAATGATAACGGGATCCGTCTGATAAACTTTGCCATCTCGAAAAACCTGATAATTAAAAGTACGACGTTTAAACATAAGGATACACTTTAATAGTAATTAAAAATTTTTAAGAAGGCGAAAACTAAATGTATTAACAGAGGGAGCATTACGAATTAATAATAAGATATAGTTGTATAAGGAGAAAGCACAATCAATGAATGATTTGTAAGTAAAATGCGAGAGCGTCTATAACGGTAGTAAACATCAGATTAGAAGTTAAGAAGTTGGAAGATGCTAGCAAAGAAGGAAGAAATTACTTGTGGCGTTAGTAATGGTTAAGCAAATTCGATTTTAAATGCGAGTATCTCTGGAAATCCGGAAAATAAATCGTAGAAAAGTGTTCTTCAAGACTGATTTCAAGTTCAATAGAGATCCCATTATGCGGTGAACTATCAAAACTATGACGATGGTCGTACAGAAATAATTTTATTGCATTATTTCACTGAATTTAATATTTCATTCGTTGCCCTATCAGTTGAAGCTTGGTTAATAACCACTATGAAATCCAGAGACATATTATTGTATTACGACAATCGCTGACAATGTAAACTAAACTTTAGAAAAAGAATCATATAATTATGATAAGAATTACTTTCGTTGACTTCAAGAGTTAAAATTCGGTTTCCTATAAGAGTATGACAACTAGATGATCAAGGTCTCCAGACAACAGTGTGACTTCAAGAATGTAAAAGCGATTAGTCCTAAGGACAATGGGGGTAAACATTAGGAACTTACCCTTTATGTTTGTTGATGTTTTAAAAAAGATTAGCAATGTACTTACTCCCTGAAGGGCTCGTGGACGTAGTACCTCTTGTAGACCTTCCCCGAGCTGTAGTTGCAGAAGAGGAGCTCCCCGAAGGCGTCGCCGATGATGATGGTCACTGGAGGAATAAAACAGGCTGCAGTCACCGTCCTGTGCCACTTCTTCGGCAGCTCCTTCATGGACCTGCCGGTGACCGTCGGCTCCCACTCTCTGTAGCAGCTGTCGAACCCGATCCCGAAGAACCTCGTCTTCAGCCATATCACCTTGAGGACTGCTCTGTTGAAGTAGTTGGTAGTGGTAAATAAGGTTTCTGTGATATTTTGTTCTGCTATCATCTTTATAATTAAATTTGATTAGTGAGAGTCGAGAGTATCATTGTTCCCTGAATACAAATCATAAGTTTTCTACCCAGTTTAAACAACAAAAACATATTTCGAATTATAGATACATTGATAGATAAAAAAACGTGTGACGTGTGATTTAGACCACAAGATAGAACTTTGGCTCTGACTGATCGTAGTTTCTATCATACACTAAAAATGATATAATAGGTTTATACTGAATAAAATATGTGATAAATACTTTTGATTGAAATTTATTTGCTAAATATTTAACTAGAACTCCGTCATTTTTTAAAATAAAACTTCTATGACGAGGGTCAGTATTTTGTCAAAACTCAAAAATCGATAGTAACACACCTTTGTTATGGATAATTAAAAAATGTATCTATATTGACTTCCACTAATTAGTTTCTGAATTCTTTATGGTATTTAAATTTTGAGATATTTTAGTTCAAATGTTCAAAAGTCGTTATTAATTGTTTTGCGTGCAAGACCAAGATGGCAAAAAAAAAATAGTTGTGAATAAATTTAGGCAAAATAGTTACTAATAATTGACAATTTTAGTAACCATGTGTGAAGAATTTGTATAAGCAATATACTTTAGCGTTTAACTCTTCCAATTTTTCATTCGGCCTTAGTTAGGTTACCTCTATCTGAGAAATTGCAATAATATCTCTATAGCAACAAGTTAATAGGTAACTGCAAGTCTGTTGCGAGACTCTTGCGCAAGACCATGAATCGTCTTGATCTCGCATTTGGGTAACACTAGTTGTGAATAATTCTTTCGCATTCCTAAAGTGAACTTATACAACATATCCAATCCAAGGCCATTCGTATTATTTTTATTAGTATTAGTAACTTGAGAATTTCAAAACGAAGATTAATAATCATCTCTTTCGCTATGTGTTTAATTACCTTTAAAAATTTAGTTGTTCCTCTCAAATTACCTTATTTGCATCTTTTCCTTATGTCTCCCAAAGCTAACCTGCAAAATATATAAGAAAATCAAGCCAGAGATCGCGCAATTCGACAAGATGAAGACCGTCTTTGTGATCTTCCTATACGCTTTAGTATTTCAGACCATACTGCCCACAGATGGTAAATATAAATGCAGTAACGATTGTTATTTCTTCCTTTAATTATTTTGTTGGCGATATCTTTATTTTTTTATCATGGAATCATTTGATCCTTCTAATGTCATGATATTAACAGATCAACAACGGTAACAGAATTCATTATAATATATGTTTCATTTCTTATCAGTATTTTACTTAATGTATTTCGAAAGAAATACCATCAGATAATATTTTTGTCCTCCCCTTCATCGATTATGCGGGGGATTTTCCGGAGCCAGGGGATGAGAGCGGGGAATTCTGCCAGAGGTAAATACCCACCTTGGCACCGGCACGCGAACTCGCGCTATTATTTTATCACATTTTATATCTAGGTTACCTGGCAACGCGCAGTATTGTGTACACACGTTATCCCGCTCGGCCACCACGCACCCTGGATAATATTAACTTGTATCATTGATGGAATAAGGTCAAAAAAAAAATTGTTATTTATGCTAAAAATTTGTTTTCCCCATAAATTTGGCGCCCTCAAAATACTGTCAACCCAGACATGTTCCCTATGCACCCCCCTAGTTCCGGCCATGCATAAAACTATTAACTACTATCTAAATCAAGGGTCACCAAACTATTGCTTTCAAAAGTTTATTGGATTACATGGTACAATTTTTAAAATTTTATTGCAAAATATGAAATTTAGTAAATCATTCACACAGTATAATACCAAATATATTGCATCATGATTCCATGATAAGTTGAAAGGACAGGTAATAAAAGAAATGGCCACAACTCTTTTTCTGGAGAATACCAGAAGACGATTGAAAAGGGTCTGGATGAGGGACCTACCTAAGTAAGTCAAAGACGCACATTTTGCTCTTTTTTTTTTTTTTGTCATTATAGAGCTCATCTGCTGATTGTTAATAAATGTAATTAACTGGTGCGGATAGAAAAATAAAAGTGAAAAAAAATATATTATTGCATGCGATTTTTCTCTTAAAAAGCCCAAGTTTTCGACCATAACACTAAATAAAATTATTTAGTTGCTATACTAATCCGTGATACCGACCCCTTTTCATCAAATTATTAGCATCCGCTTGAAACTTTGTAAATAGCTTGTTCTCATCGTAACCTACATCTATTTTATTTGCGAAAACTCTTGGAATTGGTGCGTTTTCAATCTGGATGGTGCAAACTTTGTTTATTTAATTAGGCAAAAAAACTCGTATATGCCCTTTTGCTTTTCACTTGAATCGTTATATAAATGTAACAACAAATCCAAAAAACATTGGCCTAAAAAATTATTGGGCCGTTTAGCCTATACAACATCGTTATTTTGACATGTTGAGGATGTATATCAGGCCAAACGGATCAATATTTTTTAAGGCCATCTTATTTCTAGAGTTTGTGATGAAATTATCTTACGATTCAAGTGGAAATCAAATGGGTATTTATGAGTTTTTAGTACCTAATTAAATAAACAAAGTTTGTAGATCTTCTGATTGAAAACGCCCCAATTCTGAGAATTTTCTTAAATAAAATATTTGTAGGTTACGATGAGATGAAGCTATTTACGAAGTTTCAGGCGGATGTTGTGATAATTTGACAAAAAAAGGTACTCCGGACCATACTAATTTAGCAATATTGATTTTCTTAAATATTTTTTTTTTTTTTAAGTTCTTTATTGAGTATTACAACAATCTGTCTGTTGGACATTGGTTATAGTGAGGTAGGATGACATTCACACTATATGTACAAAAAAATAAAATAAATAGAACAAAATAATAATCAAAAGTATATATAATAGACAATAAAATAAAATAACCTAAAAAATAAGAAAATTAAAACTAAGAAAAAAAAAAACACATGCATACCTATATACAATCAGGCGAGGGAACTCCAGGAGAACCCTGCGCTACTCTCCCAACCGCGTCGCTGGTACTAAAGCCAGCGGAGATTGGTCGAGAGCACTTTAGCCACATACACTCATGTCTTGAGTGAAGAATCTGGCCATTGCCAGAACTCCAATTTATACAATCTACAAAAGGTCGCGAGGCCACTGCCGTTTCAACCTTCTTGGAGGATTATAGGGATGGGAGGTGCTTGATAGGGATTGTGCAAGAGGATTTGGGTGGTAATTAAGGTTCTGGTGAAATTTGGAGAATTTTTCTGGGATAAGGTCTAGGACAAATGGGATGTTGAGGTCATGATGTAGGGTTTTGTTGGTTACATAGAAAGGAGCATCGACTATTGTTCGAAAGACTTTAGACTGGAAGGATTGGATGCGCTTGATGTTAGAAAATTTTGCTGATCCCCACAGTTCTAGTCCGTAAGTCCAAATAGGTTTCAGTATTGTCTTGTAGATCAGTAGCTTGTTTTCAATGGAAAGTTTAGATTTTCTGCTTAGTAGTCGGTATAGTTGGCCGTATCGTCGGTTGAGTTCTTGTCTTTTGAGTCTAGTATGCGGGTTCCAAGTTAGTCTTCGGTCTAAATGAAAGCCAAGATACCGGACTGTGTCTGAGTAAGGAAGCTGGATGGAATTAAAGAGTACTGGTGGACAGGAATTGCGTCGGAGTGTAAAGGTAATATGTTGGCATTTAGATTCATTAACTTTAATGCGCCAGTTATTACACCAGTGCTCAATCAAGGTGAGGTGACTTTGGAGATTTAAGGATGCTATTTCGGGATCAGAGTTGGATGATAAGATTGCGGTGTCGTCAGCGAATGTTGCAAGAAAAGTATCGGGATGAACAGGGATGTCAGCAGTAAAGAGGATGTAAAGCACGGGACCCAAGACGCTGCCTTGGGGAACACCGGCTTTAACGGAGTAGATATTGGAAAATTCTGTTCCACAGCGAACTCGAAAGGAGCGGTCAGAGAGGTAGGATCGGAGGACTAGGTACAAGGACTGAGGTAAATGGATTTTAAGCTTGGAGAGCAGTCCGGAGTGCCATACCCGGTCAAATGCCTGTGCAATGTCCAGAAAGGCACCCGAACAGTATTCCTTGTTTTCTAGGGCTGAGGAAATATGATCAACAACTCGGAGTCCTTGTTGAACAGTAGAATGTTGAGAGCGAAAACCAAACTGATGGGAAGGGATATTTTGGGATTCTATAATGGGTAGGATTCGTTTCAAAAGGATCTTTTCAAAAATTTTTGAAAGGATTGGGAGTAGGCTGATTGGTCTATAGGATGTTGAGCTATTGAGAGGTTTTCCTGGTTTTGGGAAAAGGATAATAGTGGAGTGTTTCCATAACAGAGGGAAGTGGGTGGTGCGTAGGATACAATTGTAGATATATGTAAGGAATATGACTGCTTTGGATGGAAGTTGTCGAAGGATTTGAGGTGTAAGGAGATCATGTCCAGGAGCTTTACGGGGGATTAGTTTTTTTAATTGAAATTTTACTTCGGAAGGATGAATAGCTTTTGGGGGCAAGGAAAGTGGGATTGGTGATGTAAGGAGTTCTTCTACTGTTACGGTGTGGGCAGGATGGGATTCCGGATGTGAAATAAATGTATTAGATAGGTGAATGGCGAACTCCTCAGCTTTATCTTCGTCAGATGCTGCCCAGGAGCCATCACCTCGTCGGAGAGGATGGGAAATGCGGTGAGGATTTAGGATTTTTGTTGTGGTTTTCCAAAGGGAATTGTCGCGAGAAGAGAGGGAGGATAGGTAGGAGTTGAAGGATTGTGATCTGAAGGTGGCTAATTCCAGTTTTAATTGTTTGCAGTAGTAATTATAGGAGCAGCGGTCGGTAGGATGTCGGGTACGTTGCCATAATAATCTGGCACGGCGTTTGGTGCGGATTAGGTTAAGGAGGTGTTGGGGTAGAATGGTCTTTATAGGAATTCTGGAGGAGTCTTTTGGGAAGGAGGCAGTCCAGGCGGCTTGTTGGATTGTGGTAGT